GTTAGACTGAATCAAATCAAATCAATGAGATCATGAAGTCCAATCAAATAGAAACCCATAAATCCTGAACTGAACTGGATCAACTTTAAATCGAACTGAGTTAAATTAAATGGGATCTTAATCGATCTTATTCCATCAATGTGCTGATCAAATCAAACCAAGTCTCATCAGATTGAATCAAATCTCATCAAACTCGTACACGTTTGTACTGGTCTGACCCCTCACACTCTATAAAACCCACTGAAAGGCTCCTCCAGTCTTTACCCAATTAAAGCCTTCTGTCACTTATCTCTCCACCCCCCTCACTCGCCCCTCTCCGCCGTCACAGCACGACTCTCCTCCGCTCACTTATCCACTCATCCTCTTCAGCATCTTTGCCTCAGGGCCCTGTTGATTGACAGCTGTGTGTGACCCAGGGGCCCACCCTCTCGGAGTGACAAGACCAATCCCAGGGCTCGGCCAAGTGACACAGTCAGGTGGCAGACTGGTTGTCAGGCTGATTGGCAGGCTGTTGATTGCGCTGCGTCTCAGTTAGCTCTACTTGACTCTCAGCTGGCATCTGAAGAATGCCGACCACACGCCCACTGCTGCCCAAAACAACAAATGTGTTGTTTTCTTGCCTCTTCTCAAGATTCATAGGAAGTGAGGTTTTCTTAAAGATGTCTGAAAATTATGGACTTGGCCAAAGCTTGGTGGTCCACCTCTGGCCAAAAGATAAATGAGATCAATTTAACACCCTAACCCTAACCCAGTAGGCGGATAAATGAGCTTTCTGCCTGTGGAGAGTTACTATCATGGTGTTTTTTGACAGTGCTTTAGATGTGCCGCTTGGCTTTTTTATTGTATAGTACATTTTATGTTTCAGCCAATATAAATGTCTATTTAGCAGTCCTCTTACAGGCAGAGCTCACCCCTTTATGCAACAGACTGACTCAACATTCATTCTATAAACACAAAAAAGGAAACCAAGGCAACAAAACCAGATAGTGTACCAAAAAAATCTAAAACAAATGTCTTCTTACCTCAATCTACATTTAACCTCCATCACAATACATTTAAAATTGTTGTATACAAATTTTGTATCATATAAATCCACCATAACTGGCCCTATGCATGTTCATCATGCTCTGTTATCATGCTCGCTTCGTCCCTTGGCCTTTCAGGCACACAAATAACCTGCTCCTCTCCCTGCTCTCCTCTCTCCACCTGTGGCTGCATGATAGTAGCTTCTCTGTAGCACCATGACATAAAGATAAAGCAGTCTACCGTTAACTATGGTGGGATGTGCAACTTTGTTGTGGTCCCAAACTTTGTTGCATATTGATCTGAGCTGTTAATGAAGTAAAAGTGAGGATCTTGGGAGGAAACAAGTGCAACATGGCAGGTGGTATAGTTACCAACACAGTATCGGTCGCCATTACCAAATTTGATAGAAATTTGACGAATTCACCAAACCCTAATTCATAGCCAATTAGGATTCCAGACTGGCCAGGGGGGGGGGTCTGGTACTACAATCTAAAAGACCCCCCATCTTCATAGGTAAAAAAGAAAGAAAGAAAGAAAGAAAGAAAGAAAGAAAGAAAGAAAGAAAGAAAGAAAGAAAGGAAGAAAGAAAATGCTGTTAGTGAATGTGTCTCTGCTATCTATCTATCTATCTGAGTTGTAGCAAGGAATGTTGGGTAATGGAAAGAATAGCCTATAGCAGCTAGAGAGTTGACTGCAAAACAAAATCAAGCTTCAATACGGCTTTTGATGCAAACACACACCAACACACACATGCAACACGACAGCAAACAAACACAATTCCAAGAAGACACACCAGCAATCACACTAACATACACAGATGTGTGCACAGACTGTAGCATACACACACACGCACACGCACGCACGCACGCACGCACACTCAGATGCCTGCACTTGGCCCTGTTTGTGGTGAGAGGCGCTCGGGGCTGCAGGGGGCAGGAAACCAGCTCAGATCAAACACACACTGAGCCTGTCACTTCTCTTTCATTCCTCACTCTCTTTTTTCTCCTCCTTCCCTCTCTGCTGCACCCTCCTCCTTTTTTCCTTCTCTCTGCATCTCCTTCCTCCAGCTTCTCTCTGCTGGATCTCCTCTCTACTTACTGCAGTCAGAGTAAAATGGAAGCAGGGGGGCAAAACAAGAGAGCTGAGAGGGGTGTTAGAGGAGGAAGAGATAGAGGAAGAGCAGGAGGAGGAGGAAGAGGGGAGGGCGGATCAGTCAGGAAAAGCTTGGGAGAAAAGTAGGAGCAGCTGTGAGAAAAGATAGTCCCTTCTTTTTATTTTTGGTCATATTTTCAGCTCTCTACATGGCCTCGCCATGTCCTCACACAACCTTACAGACCCCTCACATCACAAACACACCTCTACTTATCTGTCTGAAACCTCCAGTAATAGTCTATTGCAGATCAATTATACTAATTACAATGATTAAAGAGGGAGTATGATGTATTTTTTTCAACTCTATACTTCCCTACTGATACGTAGTGTTTCTCACTCTGGTGTATTAAAATATCATTTTTCAGTCTCCGTCTGAAGCGCTTCGTTTTAACAGCTGTCTCTTTAAGGAACATCCCTCCCAAAGTCTACTTTCCTCTGATTGTCCACCTCTCCTGAGATTTTTCAGTAAGGACAGAGCAAGATGTTTTGGCCCCACCCTCTCTATTGTGGTCAATCAGTAGCAGCGTTATCCTTCTCCGCTGTGGGTGTCACCTCACACGCTGTTGGAGGCAGGTCATTACACTGTGCTGGCATAGACTGTGGCCTATTGCATCATATTGCTCTGTACCTGTACTTAATGATATTCTATTGGTTAACATCTTAATAAATCCTGGCATGTTGTTTCATCTTATTGTATAATACCATGTCTTATCCTATGCAGCTGTATTGAGTTTTATGTTATTATAATGTGACATGTGGTGTGTTGTCATATTCTGAACAAATCATATTGTGTTTCAACTGTAACATCACAAGTATTGTGTCCTAATAATATGCTGTATTATATTGAGTTGTTTCCTTTGTTTTGTACATTAAACTGTATCATATTCTACCATTTATTTTTGTGCTGTGTCATACTGTACAGCATCCTGTCAACTTGTGATATATGGTCCTGTTCATAGACTGTATACAGAATGGACGCTGTCTGCCTCCTCGCTGGGTGAAGCCACCACAGGAACAGCACCCTCTGGTGACGGGCTGCAGTATAATTCATAAATCCCGCCTCCTCCAGTAATCCCTATGGAGCTGTGGACAAACTTTAGAAATCAATTACACAGAATATAAATGTTTCTCCCCCCCTGCTTGCGATGTTGACATGTAGGTACAGTAAGACTGGTTTGTGCTCAAGTCCTCTTTTTTCTGTGCAGCTTCATTTTTAAAAGTTATTCAGGGGTTCATGTTTTCTATGTTTGATACTTGATACAGCCTACAGGAGAGCTACGAATGCATGCAAAGCTACTGTGCAAGTGGTGGAGTACGTACAATGCTACTGTGCAATGTTGGTTTCAGGAAGTGGAGAAAAATCGCGGATTTACAGAGAGCTTTTCAGCTTCAAATTCGTACACTGGCGGAAGGTGGAACCAAGTTGTCCACAGTATACACATTCTATGGTCCTGTTAGTACAGAGCTTTATCTACCTCATGTTATCATAGGTTATAGGGTTATTTTGTATTCTATTTATTAATTATTTAGTATAGCTTGATTGTAAGACCATGGTAAAAATGCTTATATTAATATCAAACCCTTCAATAATCAGTCTCTACAATTGCATGTCCATTAACTGCAGTGATTCCTTCATCGGGAGAAGAAGTTTTGCTAAAAAGTAAGTTCTGATAATGTTCTCTGTTGATAAAAAACTGACTCTGTGTCCATAGACAACATATCTAATCTTACACTGTGTACAGGTACAGACACATTTCTATCTCCACACTCTTGTACTGTTAGTGTGTTAATATACATCCACGATATATGTTTGAGTGGCCTCAACCTGGCCATGTCCTGCTTTAAAAATAGATTTTGTCATTTATGTCTGTAAGTGAATGAACATTTAAAGACATCCTGTCCTTTCACCTAATTTAATAACGCTCCCTTCTCTAATGGCCCTCTTTTCTTTCCTGGACTGAACAGCCAGGATAGAAATAAAACTTGGAGCTTTTGCCGATTCCAACTGCTGATTTACCCAAATCAATACCTGACTATCATTTCTCACTGCCCACCTCAGATCTGAGTGTAAATATAACATGAATAATGTGTTCTGACTCAGAAGGAGATGACTAAGACATCTTCAGGACACCTGATATGCAGACAAGTGAGCAAGAGAAGAGACAGTCTACAAATATAGCATCCCACCCACATGTAGAAACAATGCCTGCTAAAAACATCTCCTTTCTCCTCTGCAAATTCAGGGATTCTGCAGGTGCATAGAGGAAACGCTGAATCTAAACTTTTGTAAAATGCCAAAATGCACAAATTCAGGGGCACCCCTGTTTTAGAAATGGGTGAGTTCAGAATAAGAACACACCTGGTGGAAGAAACCATTGAGGTTGGTGAAACAGGGGCGATGCTCAGTTTTCTGTAAGTGTGTTAAAAACCCCTCCCCTTTGGTATTTAGATATCAATCCTGCCTCAGAGCTGGATTTTTATGCACCCTTGTTATGTTAGTGTGTGTGTGCTTGCATTGTGTGTAGTGAAGTGCAGTTTAGTGTGCACACATGCTGTGAGTGGAAAAATGTAAATGTGCTTGCTGCTAAATGAATGCATGAACTTTTATGTGTGTGTGTGTGTGTGTGTCTGTCTGTTTTTGTTTTATGGCCATCTGCAAGCCTGTGAATGCCTGTATATGCTTGTGTGTACATGTGCATGAATCATCCAGTGTCTGGGTTGTGCACATGCATGTGTGTCTGCATCAATCTGTCCCATTCTCCCTTTTCTCCCTCTCCTCCCTCTCTCTCCTCTCTCTCTCTCTCCATCAATAGAATAAGAAAAGAGAAAACGCCACCACTGTGCTTTTCAGCAAAAGCATCTCAGCACCAACACACACACTCCCACACAAATACACACTTACATACACACACAGGCTGGCTAAAGGCCAATCAATAATTCACATAGTGCAGATTGAATGTAGATCAGTGACTCAACATGGGGGGAAAACACTATGGCTCTCCACCTCTATGGCTCTCTGATTCTCTTCCTTTCTTCACGTTTCTCTGTCTTTTATCTCTCCCTGCTCCATTTTTCCCCTCGTCTATTTTTGCCTCCATTTCAAACATCTGTCATATTCATTTTTTTCTTTCTTTCTTCTCATTTTTCTGCTTCATTTCATCTATGTCTCATCTTTCTCTGCTTCACTCTGCCTTCACTTTGAATCCCTTTTGGTATTTTGGGTTGGTGTTTTGCTGAGCAGTTCTGCTATTTTTCTTGTGTTACCTCTATTAAAGCTCTTTAAGTCTCCTTAAAAACACTGCTAAAGACAGTCTGTAGGTAAACAAGTTGAATTGGTTCACTGAATCTAGCTACCAATAGCAGAGCTATCACCATCAGCCTTCACTCCTCCTTGCAGGCTGATGCCCACATGCCTGTGCTGGTTATGCATTGTAGTGCAATGAGTTATACAGCAACTTAACCAGAAGCAGTTCCAGTGAGCTAACACTCACCATCATTTAAACTTAATTTTTAAGTAGACAATGAACATTAATCCTATATATTCAAAAAAACAAAAGTTATAAAACTCATAAAAGTTAAGCCTGACTTTATCCCGTCGTTAGGTGACCTGGAATACGTTGAAGAAGTCTGCTTTAGTTGTTGTAAGTTGTTGAAGGAGGGCATCTATTTTTTTTAAATTGCATCGATAAAAGCAAATCTAAAAAAAAACACCAGCTACAGTAAGGGGTTGACAGGGAAGATCCAACACTGTTGAATCACCAAACCTCGGGTTCAAGTTGAGTCTCAGGTCCTCAATGCTCAAGTTTGAGTCTAGTCCAGATCACTAAAGAGGAGTCAAGTCAGTGGCTTTTTATTATTTTTTCACCTTAAATTACTTACTGTGTGAACCTGAACTAACTATGTCCAGCCTTTATCAATAAATAGGTCCAGATACTCCTTATTACCTTCATGAAATTTGGGTCCTAACACGAGTCCCAAAAATCACTGCTCAAGCACTACAGTCCTGGCTTAAAGCAAGTAGTTCACAGGTCATTTGAATGGAAGCCCAAAACACTCAAAAGACAATCAAACTTGAGCTCACTTTTTGAAACGTAGAGATTACACAGTCCACTGGTTAACAAGTTGAATGGTTTGATGACTGTGGCTAACAATAGCAGAGCTGGCACCACCATGCTTGTGCCAGTAGTGGTTTAAACAGCCTAAATTCAACTTTATCTGCATTTCCTAAGTCGAAATACTGACAAACATGCACTGCATTTGTGATCTGTGCTCATTTACATCTGGGTGGTAGAGCTTTATAGCTCTATGGTAGTATGAAAGCCTTTTATTGCAGGCAGCTAAATAGCTTGGACACAACATATGGGCAGTGTTTCAGCCTAAAATAAAGAAAATTTAACTAATTTGTTTGAACATGAACATAGCTGGTTTCACTCATTTTCCCTCTCATAAACTCCTACTTTAAATTTTCATTTTTGGAATCATTTTACTACCATTCATCCACCAACAGCTCCCAATTTCCCCTTTTTTTTAAAACTTTCCGTACCCCCTTTTTCGTCTTCTCTCCAACCCATTTCTCCACCTCTGGCACATCCTCCAATCCTCTTCTACTACATGAAGCACATAAAGTTTTAATTTTTGTCCTTTCAAAAAACACTCATCATTCCTTCTCCTCCATCAAGCAACTCTTGTTTCTTTTTAAAGCTCACAGCACACTAAAATGCTCCCATCTGAAAGCTTTACTCTGACAGTTCCCCCGTCTTGACCTCTTCAAACACACACCGGCTTATTATAATATGCAACAGAAATCACACACAGCGGTGGCAGCCCACTCACAGAGTTGAGGAGAGGACAGCAGGGGCATCACATTTCAACACAGTGAGATCCAGACAGACAAACACACACACACACACACACGCACACACACACACAGAAGGGAAAGACTGTGCGGATCACATAACTGGAGTAGAGTTCTGTCAAAACAACCATTACTGGGGTGCTCGACTGTCTGTCAGGGTGTAGCATCCAAGAGGGAAATGGACAGATACTAGTGTGTTTATTTGGATTCATAAAAGAAGAACAAGTTTGGCTGTCTGTAGATGGCGTTTGAAGTTTGTGATATCTTAAAATAACAGATATTTGGTTTGTATTGTTCTCCATATGTACTACAAAATAGCAGTGAGAATAGTTTATGATGGAAATGTGATTTTAGAGTACATCAATAATGACTGTTCAATTTTCAAAGCTGCTATTGTAAAAACAAGATAAGATGCCGTATATGACAGTGATGGAAACTGATAGGATTTTCACGAAACTAACACCATTACTGATTCTGTGTATCACTCCATTTCTTTATTGATTTCCTTATCAGGTCTTGTGTATCACCTGCCTTTGTGGGTTTCTGTGCCAACAACACTGATTGTATTAAAAGTTTACTTTCACAACTTTCCTAAGGTGGGAAAGCCTGGCTTTTGATTGGGCCTGTCAAGGTTACATTCTAGGTACAGCCTCTGACTGGTGGATGAACCTTAAAAATGGTGGCAGCCTTCCTTTGGCTTAGCAATCCACAGCAATAATGCTATGTCTAAAATCAGTGCATAAATCATCACAGATTACCTTTGTTTTTGAGGGTTTGGGTCGGAACAGTCTCTGAAAATACACAGATTTCCTCTGCAGTGTCCTTGAATGACCCACAAACACACAGAATTAATCACCAGAAGTTTGCCGGTCTCACGAAGCGATTGGATTTTACAGTAAGTCAGTACATCCTACAGTTCTATTTTTAAAGCTGCTATTGTAACGCAAGGAGGATCTTTGATATTTACGTTTTGGACCAATATCTTCTTCTGTCCACCATAATTACTGCCTTGGTAGTCCGTCATACAGACTGCCTCCTGAAATGCATCACATTTTTAAATTATTTTCAGGTGTATTCTGAGGACAAAAACATCTTATATCTTGGAAAATATAATTATTTGTAACTAATTATTGCAAATGTACTACTTTCAGATTACCTACAAAACATCAAACAGCCAAACCATCAGATAAGGCTAGATGAAATACTTCCTTGACTCCGTAAAACCTGCTGAATCTAAAGAAGTGCTGTAGGACATGAGTAAGTTTTGTTGCACGTTTAATGTGTTAAATATAAAAGATATTATTTTTGGTCCATTTATTTCAACAAATTATAACAGATAACAGTAAATTCTGTTATATCATAGAGTCAGCATTATCAAGCATATCATCATGTCCCCAGATTTTATAATGAGGGGGAGAGAGAGAGAGAGAGAGAGAGAAAGAGAGAGAGAGAGATTGCACATTGGAGCGTTAACATCCCAAATGGTGCTTTTTCTGCCAGCCACTGGGCTGCAAATGTGTGTGTGAGTGTGTGCACTGTGCACGTGTGGGAGTGTATGTGCCGGGATGCAGCCAACTCCCTGAGGTAAGTGATCCTGCTGAACAGGTGTTACATCTGCCCCCACCCTTCAACCCACAGACACACACACACACACACACACACACACACACACACACACACACACACACACACACACACACACACACACACACACACACACACACACACACACAGAGGCTATCAGAGCTGCCGTCAGCCATGACTGATCTGAACAGATCTGCTCGTTCCACACCAGACGGATGAATCTGAGCCACCAGCTGATCAGTCAGCTGATCAGCGTGCATGTATGTGTGTGTGTGTGAGAGAGAGTTCCTGCATCATTTATGTTTATTTATACATGGATGAGTGTTGTTTCAAATACTTTCACACACACACCTTTAGGACTACCTGTCTTTCCATGCATATGCACGTGTATGTGTTTGTGTCTGGTCACGGCCTTGTACACACACCAGTGAATTTTTTGAATACTATACAGTGATTACTTAGGATGTTAGACAAGTTGTTGGACAAAACAGATGAGACCTAACAGCAACAAGTTACTACAAATATGATGATACTAACCGACTGAATCATTATCACTATGAGTATCTGTATCATTATGAGTATCATCATAATCAGTATCAGTATCAGATTCAGTACCATTATCAGCATCAGTTTGAGTATCTGTATCATTATCAGCATCAGTACCAGTATTGGTGTTAGTATCACCATCAGTAGCAGTTTTATTGTTAGTATCAGTATTGGTATGAGCACTGGTATTGGTATTAGCATTGGTATCAGTATCAGTATTGGTATCGTCTATGAAAAACCAACATAGGTCAATGCCTTAGTATTTATCCCCCGTCTCCTGAAATGCTAGAATCAAATACTAGGGTATGAGCTGTGCATACTTAAGATTTTGAGACTTACAGACTTTGTCGCATTGGTCATCTCAGGAGTAGACTTTTTCCCAAATTATGACCTCCATGCTCAGTTGGTCTCAGGTGCACATACGTTCCCAGGACAAGGTGACATTTTACCTTCTGATTATCCCAGAGGGACAAGGGTGGAGTTTGGGTTGGGAGTCTGTCTTTAATCTCTGTCCTCTCTGTCTTTTTGCCAAACTCTGTACATCTTTCCCTCTCTCCATTTGTCTTTTCCTCACATGATAGCGGGCAGCGTGTCCAGAACCCAGCTGGGGAAGTGAGAAACCCACACAGACGACAAACACCCGGGACAGATGGTCAGAGAGAGAAAGAGAGGAAGGGAGAGGTGCACAGAGTAAAGTCTACTACCACTCCATCAGATACTTTTCTTCTCTTATAAGAGAGATAGTTTTCTGTGGAAAGAGAAGGACACGAACCACTTATTCAGACTGATGCTTTCGCTAATTTAAATCTAACTGTGTTAAATGATACTTTTTTATCTTAATTTGTAAAGATGATGATCTTGAGATAGTTTTGATCACTCACTGGTGTCCAGGGATGCCTGGTTGATGCAGCACTTGCACTTTTCAGGAGGTTCAGTTGGGTTGCTTCATGCAGGCCCAGTTTATGTAAAATCATTATCATCCATGACTTGAAGTTTTTGATTTTCACATTTTTGAACAGGCTTCTCTGGTACCTACAGGTCCTGGATATGCAAATTTTTTGTTCTCTAATAAGATAATCAAGATCATCTTGGTCACGCACTGATGTCCATGGATCCCTGGATAAGGCAACATTTTTGCTAATCATTGTTGCCTGCAGGAAATATGACTGATCTGAACATGCCAACCTAAGATCAGCTTTTGCGATGCAGTCACCTGCTGACATCTGTCTGATCAGTTGTACCTGTACACTTAGTTTGTTGGTGGTAGCTTAAACTCTTCATCATTATACTTCGAAACCAACTACATGTTACTTTTAACTTGTCTGCTGAGCAGTATGGGAGCTTCTATGGGCGGTATGTGCCATTCAAAAGCATGATATGGTTATTTTCCTTGACAGTCAGGAGAAGATGGTGTGGCAGCTTTACTAAGATGTGCCAAAATAACAAAAAAAAGACATGATCAAAACAAAATAACCCATTAAACATGGACTGTAAACACAACAAAGTCTGCTGGGTCTATATGGTGGACTAAGAAATCCCAAAGTTCAGGCTCACTGTATCAAATTTAAAAAGGTAAAAACACCATTCTCTCCTCAGTACCAGAATTGTCTTAAACCAAAAGAGGAAAAACAGGAAAGAGAGAAGAAAGAAGATGGAGGACATTGAAAGCCAAGTTACAGGAGAAAAGAAGTACTGCATATGAGAGGAGATGAAAGGAGCAAAGAGAGAGAAAAAAAAGAGAGACTGTGGAAGTGCAAGCAGAGAGAGAGAGGGAGGGATGGAGAGAGGTATAATGAAGTCCTCTGGGTCTCTGGTGGAAGAAGCCACAGCGCCTGCCAGCCAGCACAGCCTGGCTCTGTACAGATGGCAGCATGCTGGGATACGCTCAGCTCACTTTCAAATCAGGAAGTGGATGTTCTTTCAATTTAATATTTTGTTTTTTATGTAAAAAAAAAAAAAAAAAAAGGACGGAGACTCTTTTATCAGGAAGTCTCTGAAGCTGCTTCTATATTTATACCAGGACAGTTAAAACCAGTGAGTTTACTTCTTGCTTTGCCGTACCAGGTGATGCTGAGGAGTTCTGGAAGTTACTATCACAGTTATCTTGCGGAAAGCTGTGATGCCGTTGGGAAGAAACAACCTTTAGAAAGAGTGTAAATACTGGATCGTCGTAGGAACAGGTTGTGTTTGAGTGAAGGACAGCCAAAGAGAGACAGTAGAAATTTAGCAAGGTTGCAACCAACAACTGCTGCAACGGGAACTAAAACCTCCACCATGGAGTCATACCAGCGCCCCGATACATCATTTCAACTCAATCAAATCCAAAGTGAGACGAGCACCATCCTCGTTGACCCAATCACTGTATCTCAAAGCAACCATGAAGCAGTCATCAGACATGTATGTTCCTGTTCTGAAACCAAAAACAAAAGCCTTTCCTCCTTCCCTCAAACATGCGGAAAAGAAAAACAAACTATTTTGGTCAACTCGAGTTGAATTCCTAAAAATATTTTTACTTCTGCAGAGAGGCCAAAACATGTTAGCAGAAACATGAAGAACCCTCATGAAGGCTTTCAGCCAAAACATCCCAGCTCCTCTATTTCATAGTAACTCTGTTTCAAACATGCACTGGTCTCAGGATATGTTTGAATTCCCTTCTGGGATCAATAAAGTATATATCTATCATATCTATCTATCATATCTATTTATCAGCTTAATTTCAGATGTCTGATATTAGATTGCTCAATCCGTCTTAATGTCTAAACTGTTGGTTTAGGACTACATGTTCAGTATAGTGGCGACCGATAACAGTTTTTCAACCGCCAATATCAATACCAATACCAATAATAAGACAGCAGGTTGGCCGATATCTAATGGCAATCACATTGTTGTTTTTTCTTTTACATTTTATGCATTTGACAAAATTTAGTAATACTGATATATGAGAGACAAACCAAAATTTTATGCACAGTGTCCTTTGTCCCGTGGAAGAAAGTGATAGCCAATTAGGGAGCTAGCTGACTAAAAAGGCATTTGCAGTAAATGCAACCATGGCAACAATGGTAAACTGAGATTAAGAAAAATGCAGAATTAACTTATCGATTTATGACTACAAGGTAAGTGTTTACACAGCATGTTCGATAATAAATACTACAACCAAAATGACAAGGTAGAGGGTACTATAGGGGGTTAGGCAGCTATCAATAGTTAGCACCCACAGTCCGCCATGTTTGTCTACTCTAAATTAATCATTTGTCGTCGTGTGTGGGGTCTCTGATGTTTCCAAAATCAGTTGAGATTTTCTCATTCCGCACCCTCACCCTTATCCCTCTCCATCTTTTCCTCTCCACCTATCTTCTTATCCTCAGGGCTCTGATGAGGGTTTGTCATGCCTGGAGCTTTAGTAGATCCTCAGAGAAGCTTCACCAAATCAATGACAGCAACAAGTTTAACAATGTCCAACTAAGATCTACGCCATGGCTATAATTATCTAACTTTCCTCTTTAACTTGGAAGCATGTTGCAGTGATTTTTTTGTATTTTATCCCTGTTGTATTCTTGAGATTGCAAAGCAGGTGTGGATCGAAATCAATGCATAAAGCTAATTTGCAGCTGAAGTGGCCGTGCTGAACGGTCACCCTGTTTTTAATCATGAATCCCCAGGAGTGTACTGCCACAGTACTGCGAGTTCACCTTAAAAGACCCAAAGCTGGAGACCTGGTGCTCTTTTAGTCTTATAACAAACGCAAACCTGCCTCAGACTCTGAATATGTCACTATGTCAACATCAAAATTCAGTCTTCTTTGAGAGTTATAACACATTCATTATCCTTTTACTTAATGAATATCCACTTAGGTAAATTCCCACAGTTCCCAGAATGCCTGGCAAATGCTCCGAGACTGCAGATAAAAGGGTAGTTCAGTAACTTCAGACAGTGATTAATAAATAAATAAATGAAATTAGTCAGAGTCAAAGAGCTTTTAAAGTCAAGGAAAAAAACAAGTGTTACTCATTGTTTCTAAAAGCATAACTCATCCTCTGACTTCGCTTCGTTCTGCATTCATGAAACAATAATTGGTGAGGACAAATTTCTCACTCTGCCTCTTCAAATATTTCTCCCATTGTGAGAAATTGGTGCAGAATATGACAGGTGCCAAATAAAGTGAGCAACTGTCCCTGTTCAACTAAGAGCTCCAGTTGGTTTTTCCAGTTTTTTTTTTTTTTTTTTTTTTTTGCAGAATCACACATTTGTTCATGAATATAATGTTCACAGCAAAAATTCTTTCTTTGTTTTTAATGCTGACATACAGAGGAGCTTAGTGCAAAAAAGAATGTAGTTTTAAGAGCTTAGATTCCTCAAGTCGACACCAGCTTTCTTGATAAGCTACTGGATGTTTTTATGGGTGCATCCAAAACTTAATAGGCCAAAGTTTACAGACTTCAGACCAAATCTATAAAATCTTGGACCTCCAGATGGTTTGAAACCAGTCAGCGAGAGTAGTTGCAGGTCATTGCTGCTCCTCTTCCTGCACGTCTCCAGTGTGATGAAACTTAGGCTGTCACGATTCATCTCCAGATTTCAACAGTCAATCACCATCATTTTGCAGCATTTTGCAGCTCTATGCTGATTCATACCTTCTAATTTGTGCTCTGTCAGATTTTGTGTTGCGGTTGCTCGCTGACATCATCTGCGCCCGTAAGCTCAGCTCTTGGACTGTAGCTCAAACTTAAACACTTTGGTGATATTTTCATCTCTTTTGATGCAAATGTTACTTTTGACTTGTCAGCCATTGAGGTGCCTTTGAAAAGCACAGCTGAGCGGTTATTTCCCATCAAGAAGCAGAAGGACGCTGCAGCAGCTTAACCATACTGAGTTGATGAAATGGCATAAAAGAAATGAGTTCATTTGGACCTTAATCATATTGAGATAATTGTGTTTAATGCTAACAGCCCTCAATCAAACTAATTCAAACTCTGCGTGTTATCACCATTTTAAAAGTGTCTTTAGGACATCTTCAGACCTTGAAAAAACTGCCCCAGAACCACCCACTTTGTCTTTAAAAGCACATGATATACAGTTATCACCTCTTCAGACGAAGACTTAAACCACTTTAGCATTAGATTGCGCAGGTGATCATAGAGTTTTGGCTGATCAGTGTATATCTGCAGGTTTGAAGACATTAGGTAGGGCTTAAGTGGATGCTAAAAATCTAACAAAATATTTAACCACAACTCTCAGGGGAAAACGTATTTTTTTCTGTACAACATGTACGAAGGATGAAAGAGCAACCTAGCCAGTATTATTTTCTGTTGGAATTACACTCTCTTTGCCAGATTTTTCTACTCATTATCGTTGTCTTGAATATTCCTGCATGTCTCTTTTTGCATAAAAATACAAAGGCATATTTCTTGTTAGTTTCAAATTGCTTGTGATGGAGGCATGGCTCCAGGATAGTAAGTTTATTTTAATTGTCTGCTAAAATAAAGAAAAAATTCACAGTCTTCTGTTCATAACTTTGTGATCTTGGTTGCACTACATGATTAGGTCAAAGCTTTAAAACTGCTGGTTCATCTTTAAACTGAAGGCTACGATGCACCAAAACTACCAAAAAACATCATCAAGCAACATTATTTTCACTCCTAACCAAAGAAGTTCTGATTCAAGGCTCGAAAGATCAAAGTGTTCCAGGTTCAAACAGCATCCGAGCGACCTGTCCTGACTGTTACAGCTTTTTCCACCCTTTTCCTGTAGGACAGCCACAGGCCGCCCATATATGGTCAGTAGTAATTAGAGCAGGAGAGTCATTTCCTCTCCCTTCTGGTTGCATGATGCTTAAGCCTTCATAATGCTGACATCAGCACTCAGCCCTGACTACGACTGGAACCCTTAACACACATTCTCTCTCTCTCTCTCTCTCACACACACACACACACACACACACACACACACACACACACACACACACACACACACACACACACACACACACACACACACACACACACACACACAGATCACCGACAGTTTTGAGCCAAACACTATATTCAAGCAGCATCTTCATCACCAGCAGCATCAAAATAGTAGTGCTAGCTGGTGTCATGACAACCGCCATCACTGTCAACATCCTCCCCTATTCTTCCACTTGCATTTTACATCGACAGTGACAGTGTCCAGGTTCACACTTTTGCACAAATATTACTCCCCGTGAATCTTTCCCATAGTTTTTCATTAAGCAGAATAAAATTCCAAATTGGGGATGGAGAAAATCTTTGCAACCTTGACTTGAATTAACGTGTTGCCAGACTCCTCTTGTATGGAAACAACATAGTAATCTGCTGCATTTGTGCAGCAGGGACTTTTACCAGAGACAGCAGACTTTTAGACCGGCCCACTGTCTTTGAGTAAAAGGGACCAGGGTGCAGATCAAGGCCTGGAGACTTTCTTTTGTACCTTAAAGTCGTTCCTCTGAGGGGACTTTGGGGTGGGCCTTGCAGCACTCAACATTTCTGACTGGTCATATGCAAGAGTGACTGAAAAATATGTTTTAAAAAGCTGTCTTCCACTAACAGCACTTAGGACTTTGGATGTAAGAATCTGCTTCTGAAGGGCCCAAGTGATACTCCTGCCAGTCTGCATTTCCACCAAGTCATGTGGATGCCAAGCCAATTAGTCCGCTGACTTGTGAAAAAATCTTTTAAATTATGTAATAAATTCAATTCTAGCTGCAAATTCCACTCTTAAAAGGCGCAGTATGTAGTTTTTAACAGCATTTAACAGACTCACTAGAAATGGATAATAATGACCGTAAGTGTGTTAAGAAAGAGCGAGTGCCTTTCCAAGCAAGCTGCCATCTTGCATTGCCATGTTTCTGTCATAGCACCTATCACACTCTGTAGAAATAAAAAAATATAGTAGATTAATATGTTAAAAGAAGTGTTTGAACACTAGAATATACAATTATTTTGTTTTGTCCATTTTAAATTAGCTTTTTGTATCTGCATAAGAAGTTAGTGCCTTTCCACGCAACCTGCCATCTTGCAACGCTATGCCCGGACAGACAAACCACTAACATTTGCATTTAGAGAGTTACTGATTGGAAAATGAAGAAGAAGAAGAAGAAGAAGAAGAAGAAGAAGAAGAAGAAGAAGAGAGTCCTTGTTTTGTGCATACAAGCTTGTCCTCTACATAGTAGCAGCTTCTTGTCCTCACTGGCCACCATCCCTGACAGGAGGGGCGTTTCAATTCCGAATCTAACCGCTATATCCCGCTAACAATCTCTATTTCTATACACTGACCCTTTGAGTAGATTCAGGAACCATTTGGTGGTAAAAGAAGCACCCTGGTACTTTATTTAGACCCTGATCCCTGCCAATAACCTGTATTGTGCACCCTCTCAAGTCTCTGGTATTAGTTCCTGCTGCAGGCACACAGCTTAATCAGGTCTTGAGGTCTCCAGGGAAACTCAAAAAATAGACTAAAGGAATGTATTAAACCTTTGACAAGAAGCACTTCACACTGATAGTCTTTGGTACTTTTGGTGGACACTCTGGCATCTTAAATCTAGATTTTTTGCACTTTAATGTTGAAAAGGGTCCATGGGATTTATACAAACACCAAACAGCATGTCACACTCATCCAAAACACAACATGTAGCATTTCACAGCACTGCAAAAGGTAGAGAAGTATCACACACTGACACCCCTCACCAAGCGCTCCTGCAAACACACCACAACCTCTCGGTACCTTGTCGGCTCGCTCGCTCTTCGCTTATGAAAGGATATGGCCATTCGGTGATCTTTTTGGCGTACTTCCTCACCACGTTGTCTTCACTGAAGAGGAAGAGGGAGCGGTTGACCGTTAGGCAGCTCTGCCGGACGGGTATGGGGTTGTACAGGGCCATGGTCCGGGCTCTCTGGGCCATCGACTGCTTGTACATCCGCTGCGCCCCGGGGGGCCCCCCTTGCCTGCTGCCGCCACGGCCGGGCCCCCCTTGTCCGCCGGCACCCCCGCCACCACCGCCACCACCACCTCCTCCTCCTCCATACCTGTTGGGTACCTCGTCTCCAAAACGCGCCATTCTGCAGACACCAAACGCCAGAGGTTAAGAAGGAGCCAGGGGGGAACCTCAGAGTGACACCTCCACATGCCACCACCCCATCAGCTTCGGCTCCAAACACACATGCAGAATGGAGATGCTTTCTCTGTCTCTCACTCTCTTTTTCCTCCCGTCTGCTATCTAACTGAGTCTCCTTCCCAGATCTTCAGCGCCGAGAAGATACCTCCATTTGTGAGTGGAGAGGGAGGGAGGGAAGTAGGAGGAGGTGGAGAGGAAGAGAAGAGGGGAGGGAGAGGAGGGGAGAGGAAAAGCGCACGGTGTTTCTGATCGTGTGTTTGGAATATGAATGGGAAATAAACCGATGTGTCGATGTGATTTCTGGCAAATCAGTTCTCTGTCAGGAGAAAAACACAGCTGGTTTCGCTGGAACGTGAGGAAACTGTCAAAAAATGTCAATTTGTCAGAGCATCAGCGTTTTCTCTCGGTCGTAAAAAGGCAAGGCATTCGGGTTTTTTTTCTTTTTTGGGTCGGGAAAAACCTCTCCAAGAGTGAGCTTGTTCTTGCATCTCAATAAGACAACCAATCGATTACCCTAAATACATGCAAAAAGGATGCATAGCAGTGCGTTTGAAGAAATATTGCAATCATCTCCTCTAGAAGTAGGCTACCCTAGCTGGAGACTGCGTCTTTTTTCCCTCTCAACAGCCTAGTGCATCTTGACAAGATCTGCAGTTGTCTTTTTTCACCCTCCCCAGGTCCCTTTTTTCTGCCAGATAAAAATAGAAAAAGATAAGAGTAAAATTTTTAATAATTCATTTTTTCTTGTGCCATATATCCGCAATGATTGCTGTAGCACGACAGTGATCCCTGCTGCTGCTGCTGCTGCTGCTGCTGCTGCCACCTCTCACTGCCACCACGCCACACGGGTTATACGCAAACGCCAACCGATGGGGGCTTCCCCAAAATCCGAGCCTGGTGACATTTGTTGATATTTGGTGATGGACGGTGCGGCATCCCCCCCTCCTCTTCCTCCTCCTCCTCCCCCTCCTCCTCAACAAGGCGTCGCTCACTGATTTTGGGCGTGATTGCGCGCACTTGGAGACGAAAAAACACACTGGTCCTCAACCTAACGATTTATATCTTTCCCCACTGCCCCCCGGGAAAGCGAGCTGATGAGTGGGTGAAGTTAAATTAAAAAAAATATGTCCACAACAATCATCTATAATCCAACGTTTGGAGACCAAGAATCCCGGTCGAGTAGGATCCGGAGGAGCAGAAAAAGACCACTGGGGGAGGCAGCATCATCACCATCATCAATTCTTGTTGGGAAAACAGATCGGCGACGGTGAGGGTGTGTTGTGGCAGCGGCTCTCATCTTCTCCTCCGCCACCGGGCAGAAACCGTACACCATCCCCTCCCAGCAGCATCGCCCCCGAGGCACCCCGAACCAGAGAGAGGCGGCCAGCCCCGCAGAGCTACAGAAAGTCCAGCGTCTCCTGTCTCTCTCTTTTTTTTTACTAGCTCTGCCTTCCCCCCCCTCTCTCTGTTTTTTTTTCCTCTCTCTCTTTTTTCCTGCTTCGACCCCCCCAGGGGGACGCAAGCCAACCCGGTCCTGAGGCTGTGTATTCCCGTGGAGATCAGCCTTGGAAACGAAGAGCACCCGACGAGCGGAGCGCGTTTTCCGGCTCTGCTGCGTTTAGTAAGCCGTCGGGGTTGAGCCGCGCATTGAGCATCTGATCAGTCTGACGGGAACCGAGCGCCGCGCGCAGATCCGTGGCCAAGCCTTGCAGCGCACGACGCACGGCGCCTCCCCGGTGCCTCCCCCACTCCCAACCCACTCCCCATAGCGCACGACGGAGATGTATGGCCATCAGTAGTGTGTATGGCACGACGCGGCAGCTCTTCTAACTGTTCAGAATGTAAATTTGGTGGAGAGGCAAAAAATGTACCTGTTAACTGGTGTTTTTTTGGGGGGTCTATGTTAATCAGTAATAACAAGATTCTCAATGATGTTAGATGGAGTTTCCAGGGCTGATGGGGTTTGTGATTTGAGGCCCCTGCAGGGATGCTGCTCAAGACTTTTTCTTAGGAGCCAAAGCACCGACAGCAAACTCAGATTTGCTCCGATCACTGTTTACTCAAACCCAGTGAGGTTCTTTAGAAGAGGGAAGGGGGGTGTTTTTATGTGGATTCTGTGGCGAATCAAAGAGTTTCACTTCAGCTCGATAGGTTGGTCACTGCGTCACACTTGGACGCTGAAGGTATCCCTTTCTGTCTCACATGGACGCTGGTGTCTGTCAAATGACATACGCGTGCACGTGGCAGCATCTCTTTTTCTCACTACTGAACCCCTTTAACGCTTATGGTTGGATCAGCCAACATATAAATAGAAACAACAGGCTTCATAAAATCTGCAGGAACACATCATGAAACACACTTTCAACGCGAAACTTGCTGTTAGGTCTCTCAAGTCTGTGTTTTTGTCCCATCCATCACCCAAGACCTCTGCTCTCTGCAGCTTTACTCACTTTTCGTCTCTCCTTATGATCAACTGTATCACTGAGCGTCAGTTATTACCACATAGAGGCTGTACGGTGGCCCTGATGGTCAACTGCACAAATGTTTAATGAAGTGAAATCATTTAACCAAACCAAGCATAAAACAAGTCCAAACATGCTGGAAATATTTTAGAAAACATAAGAACAACTGATGAAGAGAAATTAAAGGTATTTCACTTTACCCAAACACAAATTATGATATCTAAAAACATTTTACAAAATGCTTAAAATAATCACTTAAAACATTTAAGTTGACTCCTAAGACATTTTCCCGATTACACACAAATCAGGAAAAGCAGAATTATTTAATAAAATGCTAAAAATAATTACTCAATGCAAAAATGAATAATCAAAAGCACGACCATGTCATGAAATCCAAAATAAATCAATTGAATGCTTAGACAATTGATTACATGACAAATAATCACTTAAACACAAAAATATTGCCAGAAACACAGTATGTTACTGATGCAAAAATGGTAATGATGGAAAAAAATATTTGAAATTTAAATTGCAAAAATAAGTAAATAAAGATTTAACAAAATGTATCATGACAGTCAAGAAACTTAAACAATCACACACCAAAAACTGGGTTTCATTTCATTTTTGTGACTTGAAAAAATTGTTTCCATTTTGTAGACATTTAGATATTTGTACATAAGATATTTTGCTTTTAGTTTTTAGAGGTAGTTTTTTAAAAAAAATTTACAATTTGTAAGATGAATTTTGCATTTGATTTTATAATATATATTTTTATGTGAAAAAAAATTTGAATTTTGAAAAAATAGTTATGGCATTGAACAAATGTTGCATCTTTCTTTAAATCTTTTGTATTTCTCAAATGTTTCTGCATTTTTTTATTTTTTTTTATTCATTTTTCAGGAATTAAATGAATTAAAAGAAGTCCTTAAAAACTGGTGAGAAAGCATAAATATTTGACGTATTTGGAATGAGAACTTAGTGGTGAAAAGGAAAATGTCTGCAAACTTTGCACAAAAATCTGACCCAGATCACAAATTTAAATCTCCTGAGGATTCAAAGGATCTTCTTTGCAAAGAATAACATATACATTAGATACCAGATATTGGAGGGCGCATACGTATGATCATTTTTCATCAATACTTCCACTGTTCCTGCTTTTATTCAGTTTGACTGTATAAGTGCAGGTTCAATTGGATTCCTCAGTAGAACATATGACCACATCACGTCAGCCTGATCATGTGATTCTGAGTTTTTGAGGACGAGCAGAAGGGTTTTATAAGTTGAAGTATTTTGTGGAATTTCCTCAGCTGTTAAATGTATGAAAAGAAAGACGCTGCCAGTAAAGTAAGTTGGACAAAAATTTCATCTGCTCAGCCAGGAGGAGAGTTGGGAGAGTTTGGAGTGCTGTGTTTGTTTTTTTCCTTTCTTTTTTTTTTTTTTGAGGGCGTACTGTTATTTTGAGGACACTTTGAACGAGGTTTTATCTCCCTTCATTCCCTTCGTTCTCCTCCAAGCCGTCTGTCAGTCTGGCTCTGGCATCTGAGTCCACTTTGATGCAATTCAGCAAGCTGTTTGCCTGGGCTAAACCAAGCAAGCTGTCACCTCTCCAGTACAGGGAAATGAAGGTGCGGGTGGAGACATGAAGGAGAGGATGGAGGGGAAGAGAAACCCTTAAAATAACACGGAAGACAAAAAATCCCTTTAAAATGATCTTTGGGATATTTTTGATTGCTGTTACATAATGAAAATGGGAACTACTGATTTGAAGCGCCACTGTGGAGCTGTCCTTGGTCCTGAAACAGTTCCTGACTGCAATCCAAGGCCTTGTGGCGCTGTCCAAAGTGCTGAAACAAGTGCAGAAAGCTCTGAACACCACCTGCATGCCTTTGGAAGTGACTACCTACATCGTGCATCAGGGTGGGTTAGTAAGTGTACCTCGCCATCTGTTAAACACTGAGAAGCGTTTGAGAGTCCTGCTTGCTGTTTGTCTCTCCCACCAACTACTGATTCCCGGTCTAAATAAAACAGTTGGTGGAAAACTTAAAGAGGGCCATATGGTGGGCTTTGGGATGGATCTTAAGGCAAACTGTGGTAGACTATGCAGAAGTCAATAAAGTGTCACAAAACTTCATAAAAGGGGGAATAACCTGCTGGTGTCCAATGTGTGATGCAACAACAGTGATGAGTTCATACATGTAGCGTCTCCTTATGTCATCTCACCTGCAGGAGCTTCAGTGCAGGTCATGATGTCTTTCGGGGTTTAAATAAATGCATAAAAGTAAACTTTTTTTCACCTATAGCCTACCAATGCTAACTGAGGCTTCTTATCCACAATGACACTGAGCCTAACTTTCTGTTTGTTTATTCAAACCATTTGAGGATTGGTTTAAGTTCTCAGAAATATTATTTTTGTTATCTTTGCATGAATTTACCTGAACATTTTCAAGCATTTGTCACCAAAATAAAACTCATAGAAACACACATAGAGAGATTTTAGTGAGAAATAACTACACGGAAAAAAACAAGCTGAGTCAGGTTTGACATGTGCGCAAAGCTAAAGTTACTTTTAGCAGCTAAATATAACATGTAGGTGGCCTCTTTCAGCCTCCAAGTTTTATTTCCACACTGTGATTCAATGTACCATCACACTTCCATAAAAAAAACTGATTTTGCTGATGCTCCAGCTCTTAAATTGTTCAAAACGGTCCAGGGTGGACCCAGAGTTTGCACAGACTCTGAGTTTTCAGGTAGTAAAGAGTGATTCCTAGTGCATCTTCCTCACTGTGTTATTCTATATTCATAGAAGTCAATTATAGCTGAGAACTTTGGAGTGGCCAATAACGGCTCATTTCCACAAAGGATTCTGTATGGAAGTAGATCTGTGCCATCTGACTTTGAATTTGAATTTTCAAAGCTTATTTTTTTTTGCATCAAAATCAGCTTTGAAAATTCAAAACCATTGAATTCAAGCACACATTTTTATTTCTTACACTTATTTTTTTTTCACAACGATGAAATAAATTCAGTATAAAAAAAAATCGGTCTCTCAAAATATTTGTGTAGTAAAAATATGACTTAAAAAAAACTGTAAAAAAAAAAAATCAACATGAAAAAAAAAATCAGTGTCAAAAAATTCAGTGTAAAAGAGACTGACTCAGCATCCAGGTAACCAGGGAAAAGCAATCAGTTCCTCAATCTTCCACTGGGGTCGGTGCCACATGACCACTCTAGCATTATTTGATTGGCTGGACGATGGATGATTGAACCGGGAATCGAGGGCTCTCCCTGGTTACCTGGATGTTGAGTCGCTGTTTTACACTGAATTTTTTGACACTGAATTTTTTTTAAGTTGATTTTTTTTTACACAGTTTTTTTAAGTTGAATTTTTACCAAACAAATATTTAAAGGGACCGATTTTTTTTTTACACTGAATTTATTTCATCATTGTGAAGGAAGTTAGTGTCAGAAATAAAATGCGTGCTTGAAATTTGATAGTTTTGAAAAGTCTGATTTTGATGAAAAAAAAAAAAACAACTCAGATTTAGAAAATTTTTTTCAAAATCAAATGGCACAGATTTGCTTCCATAGTTGTACTTCACACAGAGTGTCTGCTGCACAACCACTTAAATTTTCAACATGCATGTGCATGCACTTCGTCTGATTTTCTTTTGTGCAAGTCACACACAGCTCAGCCAAAAACACACTGAAAATGATAAACTGAGGGTTGTACAGTATATGCTCATTACCAGCTATGTTGATGTCACAAGCATGAAAAGTATATTAGGGTTTTACTTTCCGGAAGCTTTTCAAAGTAAAAGCCCGATCCTGTCTTCCCTGTGTAAGGACTTTCCTTGTTTTCACATGGTTCTTTTAATATGAACTAATGTCAAAGACTTGCAGTACTCTTGGTTTAAGCCTGCAGGGAACTTGCATGTAAAAGGTTGTCAAAAGTTATGTTTGCTGGAAGTAGGCTAGCTCGACTGCCCAGCGCAAACCTCTTTTCATTTTAATTTTATTTGCAATCATCAATGTCGTTGATGCCTTTATGCCTGTCAGTGTATGTCCTCTCTTTCTTTAATTATTGCAGTTTGGGGATTGATCAGTATGCTTGGTACCCCAACATAAATGCCCTAAAAACAGTTCAGTACAGGTTGGCTTTGGGGGAATTTTCTCAAATTTTGATTATAAAATTATGTAAATAGTTTCACACCAATCCAAACCTCACCAGATCAGACCCCTTGGTGGACCCCTACATCTTAGTACTTTTCAGGACTGGATGTAATCTCATATCTACTTCCCATTAAATGCTTCTTCTCTCTTTAAAGAAAACTCAGCTCTACACTTTTCATTTGTTTCTATTTTTTACATCACAGAGTAAAATTTGCATTCAAGGTCTCAGAGTTGAGATTCTCAGACAGCCAGCTGGTTCTGTTTATTTCATTTGACTGATTTGCATTTGAAAAAATCCCCAAAAAGCTTTTGGCCTTAAAATGAAATGGTCCAAATAAATCCCATTGAAGCTGTCAGATGCAGTATTGAGCCTTTTTTTTCTGCTGGTGTCAAATAAAACTCGACACATCCTCTAAATATGAGTGATGAGTTGTTTGTGCAGTATGAGTAATTTTTCTCTCACTGAGCTCTGACTGGGCTCGACAGTCACCCTGAGGTCACACAGTGTGTAAAACCCGCCCGCTGTAGTGGGTCTTAGCACCCAGCTATTATTTACAAGATGCCTCCTCAACGTCATAACCTGTGAGCATCACTGGATCTGCTCATCATCTGATTCCCGTAGACTGGTGGCTACTAACAGGCATGATAAAAGCCCCGCTCCGCTGACAGCACGGAGAGAGAGAGAGAGAGAGAGAGAGGGAGGGAGAGAGAGTGAAAGTGAGTGTCGGGAAGAGGTGGATGGGTGGTGGAGAGATGGCGAGGAGGGGGTGGTGCTGATGCTGCTGGTGGACGAGCCTGCCTGTGATTCGCGCTATTGAGGGGGACTACGAGATGCTGTGGATGACAAGCTGCCCCCCCTCCATCACTCACTGGTAATGAGGACGGATGGAAGGAGAGTGACGGCTGCAGACTCTCTCTTCTCTCCCTCCTTGTTTCCTTTTTCTCCTGCACACTGCATACCTCTGTTATCGCTCCTCCTGCTGCTGCTGCTGCATGCTCCTGCAGCTTTCTCAGGCTCTCTCTCTGCGACTGTGAGTGGGTGGTTGTGTGTATATATATGTGTGTGTGTGTGTGCGCGCGCGTTGCTACTGCTGCTGAGGGGAGTCGTGCTGAGGCCCTGATGCGCAGCATTGTCATTCAGAGAGCGTTCACACAGGCAACCCCCGCAGGAAGCCCTGGCACCTCCCCCCTTGAAACGAAGTCCCCCCTCGCCTCCCCACCCCACTAACCCTCCTCGCTTCCTCCTCCTCCTCCTCCCCCTCCCACTCTGTTCCCTGATCTCACTCGGCAGGCCAAAGCTACAGTGTGTCTGAGAGGTGGAGGATGAGAGACGACACTGCAGGATTAAGACCACCTCATGTTTAAACTTTAAACATTGCAACTCACCTATGATTGGAAATGTCAAATTTAAAACTATCCTGAAATAGTTTTTGCTGCTCAGAGAGTCATGTGACAACCTCTTTACAAAGACTGGCACACAAAGATCGTTTTAGTCACTGTTATTCCCATTTTGCTGAATTTACCTTGCAGATAATTGCTTTATCTTGTTTTTTAGCTTAATCTACAAGCATTCATAAAGACGTAGTTCTAAAGAAAGCATCTCCGCAGCCCTGTTTTTCCTGAAGTGAAGTTGATTGCCAGGTTGCTGCTGCCAGCAGCTTGTTTATTTTCATCGACTGCTGCAGCTGCAGCTCAAGAGACGGCACTTTTACTTTTCTACCCTCACAGCAGAGACTATGAGTGAATAAAAGTGAGATCTAAGTCTATAAAACATCTTATTTCCATTTTTGATTTTTGTATGGCCAAATCATTAAGTCTGACCACTTAGCTGCAGACGAAGGTGTTGATTTTCAGTGGGATCAGCAGAACTAACACTTTAATATCATATAGGGCTGCTTTTGAATCGTTAATGCACATAATGTTTCTCATGAGTTTAAATCAAAAAGCTCTCCAGCCAATTCAACGCAAAAGTAATATGTTCCAACCCTCACATATGAACCTTGTGAGTGTAAATGACCAAATCCTGCTGACGTTAAGTAATAGGCGGTGGACAAATTACACAGCATCATTTTATGAGTCAAAGCATTAAAGGGATATTCCAGCATAAAATTAATTAAGGGTCAAACACACCGTTGGTAACGACTGCAGGATAGCAATACACAGCAGTCTGAGGAGACATAAACAAACCTCAACCAAAAAGCCACTCTATAGCCACAAATAATGCTCAGAACAGCACCTAACTTCACCAACAGTACATATAGGGTCCCAGCCATAGTACTAGCCACCAAACATCTTTTTAGCTTTGACTGATTTCTTTAGCAAAGAGACTTAACACAACTCACCTCCTCTCTTCCAGCAGCCGCTTGTTTGTAGCAAGACCTCAGGCCAGTCCATCGACTACAGCATGGCGACGCAGCTCAAGGAAGAACATTTATAATCATTTCTTCATGGAAATGCAATCAGACCAAGACGCTAAGGCGACTACTGTGTCTGCAGTGCAAAATGATTAATATGATGATTATTACTTCAAGGAAATGATAAAGTAATGATCATAAATGTTCTTCCTTGAGCTGCGTTACCCCGCTGCAGTAATAGACTCGTCTGAGGTCTCCGTAGAAACAAGCAGCTGCTGGAAGAGAGTAGGTGAGTTGTGTTTAGTCTCTTTGCCCAAGAAATTAGGCAAAGTTAAAGAGATGTTTGGTTAGGTGTTGTTAGGTGCTGTTAGGTGCTGTTCTGAGCATTATTTGTGGCTATAGAGTGGCGCTTTGATTGAGATTTGTGTATGGCTCCTCAGACCACTGTGTATTGCTATACTGTGGCCGTTACTTAAGTTGGTATAACTAGAGAAGCAAGCGGTCGGCAACATTCATCTCTCGAGGGAGTGTCTAACTCGGTGTTACAGTGTGTTTAACCCTAAATTAATATTACACTGGAATACAAAAACAACAAAGCGCTAGCTATTGTCACCAAGAAATTCCACCCTTCACAAAAACACTCTCAAATTCTGTCTGGTTCATTGAATTCGACTCAATGTTCTACCAGTAGATCCAAAGACCTTCCCTCTGTCCCCTCACAGACCACATATGTCTACGCCAAGAGCTACTGCCAGGGCAGCACTGCATTCACCATCAAACAGAAGGGCTAATATGAGGTACACAGAACCTGGTGGAGCAATGACACTTTTTATCCAGGTAAAGTTGCTGGGTGTGGCTTAAATAGTGTGATAAGCCACGCCCACAATTTTTCACAATTTCAGCCCCTCCGGCACAGAGTTGTGAGGGTCCATTCAACGCTGCTTACAGCTTGACTTTTAATTGTCATAGATGAAAAACTGAGCCAGATCTTTGTTGTTTTGACTCTTATTTAATATCAAAAACAAGCAATGTCTTATCTTGCTTTGCTTAAATCTTGTATCCTCTGCACACCAAATCCACAGCTCTCCTCCCTTTACAGACGCATTGTTTATGCGTCAGAGGGGAGAAAATAGGTCATCACTGTAGAAAATAGGCTGTCGAAAGTTTGCATACCTATTTTTGCATTTCAAATGGTTACTTTTATTTTTAGAGAGGTTCCTAACCTCTGGTGCATGTAGGAGAATGTAAGTGTTGTTGTGCCTGGAAGCGTTAAGGTGTGGATGCATGTGGGAACATAAGATAGGCTGGAATAAAAATACACACAGCCTGTGTGATCAGCATAACCCTGTCCTGGATACAGAAGGTTTGAAAAATGGAGGAACTTTTCTGAGCTGCTAAAGTGACACCTCTGAACCAGATGAGCTCCATAAGATAAAACCAGCTCAGAGCAGCTGATATATATTAACGCTGAAGGAGACAAGACGAGCACTAAGTATCCCCGTTTTCAGATTTAGATTAGGGACCTGAATAGGATGAGCCCGGCTGTTTGATGATCATGTTGTAATCTTTTGAATATGACAGTAAATCCACATTCAGCTCTGACCCATCCACTCCTTCTCCTTTTTTGACCAAACCTTTGAGTCAGATCTTTCCGGTCACCTACAGAAACACCAAACAAATCATGAGTGGAACAACAAAATGCTGTCACTTTTACAGCTTTGTGCCATTTATTTGGACAGTTTTCTTTTTAAGCCCTCTCTTCAACTGCTAAGGTTTTTTCACTACCTGACTTCCAAGAAATGCATCCATGCCATTCAACTTCCAGCTCAGGGCCTGGTGTGCAAACCCTGGAGCATGTGCCAGTGTCAATTCAATTGAGTCATGTACATGACAGAGAGAATCAGTCCCCAACCACATCCAGGTATGTTGGTTGGGACTATGACAGGTTTGATTCAGTGCAAATTCAGTTCAAACTTATGAAAACATACTGCATGACCACAGGGGGGCTGATGAATGACAGGGTATTTAATGAGCAAAGTTAAATTAGCCACTGGTTTGTGAACTATTTGCTAGAAGTTATTAAATTTGAACAAGAAGAAGAGGCCTGGGATTGACAAAGGAAGATGTTACAAACAGTTGAAGGAGAGATTAAGGTTTTTCTAATTATTTTAAACAGTCTGGGAATTACAGTTTTGGTGCATCACTGTCCCGTGACCGGAGTTGCTCATTTAAAACCTGATAACCAGTGTCAGGGCCAGACCGGGGCACTTAGTTTTGTTCGGGTAGCCAGGTAAAGGTAGACATGACCCCAAACCCAGGAAGGTCCCAAAACACCTTTTCTTGTAATGATTTTAAAGTCCGACTCCAATCATTTTTTTTCACCACTTAAAGTGTTATCAGCGGTTTTTAAATTGTGATTAAGAAGTTTTTAGCCATTTTCAAGGACTTTTTTTTTCTGAAGAGCTTCAGTAGCTCATTAGCAGTTCTCCTGAGACAGCAGAGACAGTGCTGCTCTGCACGCTCCTCTTCATGCTTGTAGCATGCTTGTGTAGGAACAGTGCCCCGTAGTAGAAGAAGCAGGTAACATAGGAGCAATTCAGCTCTTAGACACTATTGTCTCTAGGGGCATGATGAAAGCTAAAATCATAATTAGCTTTCTTACAAGCATTGCAATCCGCTAACGCACGCGCTTATTCCGCAACTGTCCATTCTATTTCTCTGAGTCTGGCCTGCATAGCAGGGCGGAGCTTGGAGTTGTGATGTAGGAAATCTTACTGTGTCTGAACCTGCTGTTTGGGTCTGCCAGAGATTCACCGAGCTTTGAATTCAGAAATACTCAGAAACGCAATTTTGCACTAACTTTTCTCATGATGTGTCCTTTAGCATCAGAAAAATGCTGTTTGAACATGTAAAAAAAAACAAGAAAAACACGATTTGCATCGGAGTGGGTCTTTAAGCATTGACATGTGACTCAACAAAGTGGCAACATTGATTTCTGTTGAACTCAATTGTTCATGGACTGGAAAAGAAGAGATTTCTCCAAAGTCAACAACGTAAAGAGCAAAAAAGCTTCTAGCACAAACACATCCCGCAAAAGATTATTTTTGAAGTGGTGCCTTAGGGCCAGTCATGGTTCAGGATTAAAGTCTGGCTCCTGGCTCTGCAACTGCTGAGACCATATATAAGCAGATACATAAGAGCTAGAATGAGTAATCGCCGAGATAATAGATATATTTTCGTATATTGTCTGCAGGGATTGACTTGCAATGCACACTTTCTATGTATAACCCCCAGAATCAGAATCAGCTTTATTGGCCAGGTATTTGTACACACACAAGACATTTGACTCTGGTAAACTGGACTCTTCTTGTTAAAAAAGAGCAATAATTCATGTGTTTCTGCTCACATGATGCTTACTCCATCCTAGAGCCTGTGTGTGCAGATTAAACTCAGTAAAGACAGCTCTCAGAGCCCATAATCATTATGTAGAATGTGTTTGTGTGTGTGTGTGTGTGAGTGCGTGAGAGAGAGAGAGAGAGAGAGAGAGAGAGAGAGAGAGAGAGAGAGAGAGAGAGAGAGAGAGAGAGAGAGAGAGAGAGAGAGAGAGCAGCAGTGGCGCGTGGTGTGTTTTATGCAGACAGGCACAAAGATATAGCGAGCTGATGTAGCGTCCAAGCTAATTAGAGGATTGCTCTTTTTTTGGCTCCTTCTCACGCCGACTCAACCTGTATTAATTGATTGGCTGGTTAATGGAAGTGGAGAGGAGGAACGGAGGAGGAGGAGGAGGAGGAGGAGTGTGCTGGTCTCAGCTAATGGGCCTGACTCTGGTGTGTGGAGTAAGCATTCTAGTCAAAGAATCAGCAATGTGAGATGGATGGAAAGACAGACAGACAGACAGAGAAAGAGAGAGAGAGAGAGCGAGAGAGAGAGAGAGAGAGAGAGAGAGAAGGAATGAAGCAGAGATCAGGGATGGAGGGGCTGTGCGAGTCTCTGAAGTGTAGTATGACATTATTTGCACAAAGACACTAAAAGAGGAACAACCCTGGACAAAAAGGCATCAGCTATCTCTGCACAGTGACAGGAGGGGTCAAAGGTTACTGACCGGGCCCATATACTGTGTAAAACATGGACGGAACAACAGCTAACCTAAGTGAAGCCAGAGCAGGCAGAGGTGGCTCATCTTTTAGCACATTGTTGTGATTGCAGGAACTTCTGTGACGTTCATTCTGACTGTCGTTGTCTATGACATTGATCTGCTATTTCTTTGATTGTCTCTGCTCAAGAAGACAAACGCTGTGCTTCATCTGTTTACTAAATTTCAGGTTCAAGAAAAAGAATCTGTCTGCCCCTCAGCGTCCCAGACCGGACTGTACCACCGTGTCAGATTAGTCTGATTGAGGATGCTTAATTCAATCCAGACTCTGAGCTGACCCACTTTGGTTATCTAACTTCAGCCATGTACCTTTTCATCATTCCTCCTTCCTCCTCTCTCCTGCCCTCCTCATCACCTTTTTTTCCTGTTACAGAACATCTACAGTGCGTCACTCTGGACCAACTCCCTCTGGCTTTATTCTTTTAGTTTTTTTTCCTCTGTAGTCAAACTCTTCCTCCGTCTCTAATGAAACACTCTCTTTAAAAATTAACCTTTTCAACCTTCTTTTCCTCCCTGTTGCCAGAGCTGATTTTGAGCGAGAAACAGATGCATCAGGGGGAGAAAAACGTAGATCTCAGCATGGTCCTGACTGTGCTCTTTAATCACTCAGAGTATTGGGAGTCATAATTCACTCTCTGGCTGTCAGAAGCAGCAGTTCCCACTCTACATCCTCTTTAAATGACTAATCATGATGTTTCTCTTCTTACATTTTTTCTCAAAGAGCAGAACAGATATGATGAGGAAGTTTTCAGGAGACTATGATGACAGACAGGGAGGATATTTCAGAAAAATACGTAAGTTACATTAAACTGTCTGATGAAAAAGCCCTCACTGATGGATCTGAAGCTGTTTTTTTCCCCCTTCTTTTCTGTCTTTCTCTAATAAGCTAAATTATGCCTCCAGTGAAAGTATAAAGCAAAGAGATCTTACTTTCTCCTCTTCTTTGGGTTGACTCTCCTGTAAATTTAACATTTATCCAGCTGGATGGTTATCACAGCCCCTCGGTGGGTATTAGACATCCTGAGACATATGGGCTTGACGTGCTTCACTTGCCTTTCCGTTGGCCGCCCCTCAGACTCTGGCTGGTTGCCACATAATGAGCTGCACTGAAATGAGTGTTCTGGGTTCTTCCTGAAGGTTTCTGATCCTGGATCTTGAATTTTCTGGTGATTTTAGGAACAATTTCCTTTACTGCTTCGGCTTCTTACAAATGTTAATGACTGTCTGCCTGTCTCTTAATACAAACAAACACTGCCTTACATACAACTGAAGATTATTTTTGATGAATAGATGTCTTCAAGAATTGTCTTTTCTCTCTAAAACACTTTGGGTTTTTTTCTTTTTGAATAATTTTTCATTCACGATGCAAATTCTTGACAAATATATCTCACTTTTTGTTTGCTGCTGACCCTCCTCCTCCTTTGTGAATATTTTAATCTCTGCTTTCATTTTATCTTCTGGTTTGTGTTTGTCTGAGTAGAATCATAATCCAGCATTTCAGCTGGTATTGTATGTATATGTCCAAAGATATGTCCACTCGTATGGCCCCCCCAAAAATTAAATGGGCTACCCCAAAATCTTGAACTTCTATCGTCAGCTTGCCTCGCCTAGACTGAGTCTTGTGTGAAAATGAACTGTTTAGGCTGTGCTGTGTCAGTGCTGTGTCCAACAAAAAGACCCTCCAAGACACTAAAACCTGTGTATTTATTAAACTGTGATGGGGGGGTATGACGCCTACAGGTGTAACTATAATAGGTATAAATATTCCTTCATCCCTCTGTTGATTACTCTACCTAATGGGCTGCTTGCGGAGGACAGACGGGGTGGAAGGTTTTTGAGGTAGGGCTAATTTAATGTGATTCCTGGTGCACTAGAATGCAGTTGTAGGTTGTTACTGTTTATTATATTGGAGGGTGATCTAGAGGCCCACTTGTGCTTTTTTGCGTCACTGTGCACTTTACTGTCTTGTTATTGTTTTTGTTGTCCTGTGCTGTATTGTATTGTACTGTGTGTATCGTATTGTATGTACTGTATTATATGTATGCTGCCTACCCGTGTGTCCAAGACAAATTTCTCCTTAGGGAGACAGAATAAATTAAATTATTCTATACTACATTATACTACATTAAATTAAATTTACAAAGCTCTATTCAGGGTCTTGTTCAAGTTTTTTTTTTCCTTGTTAGACTTTCAAAATAATTTTTAAATCATAAACATGCATCTGAAACTGCACAGTGGTAAAATTTTTCTGCGTACACTTCAGTGTAGTTCTGACGTTTGCTAATGGTGGTCACCAAATGGGATGTGCTGACTCAGCCTTACTTTTGTCAATTGAGCAAGATGCAAAGAGATGCTGGTTGAGTAAGCCACACACCTAACTATGCGAAACTTGAATAACTCATGTTAATTTTTGCTGTACAGATGAACTTTTTTTGAATGAGTGTGTATGTAGTTTTTAGTGCTTTTACTGCCAGCCCCAAGTGGACACTCCAGGAACTGCAGCTTTTAACATTTCTGCATGGGCTTCATCTCTCAAGGCTGGAGATTTCTGCATTAGATATAAACTATAAGGTTTTTTGTTTTTTTTTTCTTAAATTGACAATTTTATGGTTACAAAAATGTTCCTAAGTCAAGACCTACAATGTGATGCACTATTTCCCTCGTTAAACACAAATGCTAACTGCAGTTTATCTATGAGGCACGGGGAAAAAGGACTAAGGTTTGATTCCCAGCCTGAGCCTGTTCAGAATAAAAATCTACAGCAGGTGGACTGGAGAGAAATGTGGAGAGCGTTTGGCTATTTTTGGAACCATGTGTTGGACTGAACCTTCATCTCACCAGGTGGTTTCCCTGCCTTCCAGCACATGCACTTAGGGAGTGGTAACAGGAAGAAAACGGTAGAAAATGGGATTAATTGTTGCATTGTTAACAAAGTCTGGATGAGAATTAAAATAGAGATAAACAAAACCTCCATCCCTGCCAACAAATTTCTCTGAATCTCTCTGACCGTGGAGAGAAAGGAACAGCGAAAACACAAAAAAACTGACTCTAAGTCAAATTATGGAGTTATAAATAGAGGATAACAACAGGAGATGAAGATTAAAGAAAGAAAACCACACTGAAGAACAGAAAAAGAGGATGACAAGGACATATCAGAGAAACCCTGGAGACAGATGACCAACAGAGGACTAAACAAAAGGTTAGGAGCTAATGTGTGATGATAAGCAGCGGAGAAGAAGGTGAGGAGATGATAGGAGGAAGAGAGATGCAATGGAGGCAGGAAATAAGGTCAAATAGGAAATGATTAAAAGGAGACAAAGAGAGAAGCAAGTGAGGGAACGATTGAATACGACAGATAAGGAGGTGTAGAAAGGTGAAAAGGGGAAGAATAGGGACAGTGAGGAGGAGAGATATGATGGGGAACAGAACAGCCTGTTTCCCCTCTAAACGGTAACAAGTGGACACTTTTGCAGCAAACTCTAACAATCAGATTTCTTTATCTACTGGTTTCAGCTTGGCTGTATTACATCTTTATTCTAGTTTGCAGCATTTGTAGCCGCTTCTGTAACACTAACTCTAGAACAAAGTTGAAGCACAAGTTAGTCTGTTAACAGTGCAAAAATATTCTATACCCTTTAATATTCTTCTGGTGTAATCCTTCCCCATCGACAACATTCATTAAAAGTAAAACATCTGCAGCAAGAGTTCATTTTTGCAGCTTTTTTCGGATTTAGAGTCAGTTTTGCGACTAAAATGCCAGGCTGAGTAAAGAGGATCAGGTGTCTATGTGGCTTCTGGTGCTTTACTGCCAGCCCCAAGTGGACACTCCAGGAATTGTAGCTTTTAGCATTACTGCATTGGCTCCATCCCTCAAGACCTGAGGTTTCTGCATTAGATATCTGCTGTATGTTTTTTAAAATGAAGAGAACAATTGCATCCTTTTTAAGCTGAATTGAAATCATCAACTTCAGGATGTGTTTATTTTACCTGAAAATCTGCAGGTTTTGTCAAACACAAAGTTCCTGATGCTTTTTTCCATTGTTGTTTTCGGTGTATGTAAAGATGCTGATCCATCACTGGTGTTGATAATTATTTGGGGAAGTACTTGGATCCTACCAAGTCTTAACTTTGGGCTAAGTGCTGCAGCCATAACTCGTCTTAAGTAATAGGACAGGTGGGTTTTTACATAAACATCTTGCTGAGAGCAGCTTTAATGTGTTTAAGAGCTGCTGAAAGTTTGAACTCATTTAATAAGTCTATATATCACACAGGAACAATGTGAGTGTATGCGCTGTAAACATCCCCGCTGTAAAGGTTTCATTGAGAAAAAGCTGAGGTGTGAAGGGTAAGACGGTGCCCTCGCTAAATGGGAGCGTCTGGCAGCTGGCCAATCACAGAGAGGGGGCGACCCTGAGTGACAGCTGGAAAGAGAGGCAATAACCCCCTGAGTAAAGGAGGACGTCATTTACCTCTAATGATGCAGTCAATGTCGAACCAATCAGAGAGGAAAACGCCTTTATGCACTTATTCATTCTTTCCTGTAGAAATCGCTCACTCTGTTTGTTTGTAGCAGTAAATGGAGACTCAGTGACTTTTATGAATCACTATTCTCCAGCAGGATAACTGGAAGCTGGTCATTCATGCAGTTCTTCAAATTATAAGTACAGCCCCATGAAATGTTTTATTCTCCTTGAATCTGTCTTGACTCACTTGCCATAACTCTCTGGTGTCAGGCATTTTAAAGAGAGTAAGACAACATGATGCAGAGTATATTATCTTTTTAGGTTACATCGTTTTTCCATGCCACCATGGATCAGCGTGCCAGGGTCTACTGCCTCGAATATTGACAATCAATAATCAATAAATCAATCTGTTTTTTTTTTTTTCATATAGCACCAAATCACAGCAGTTGTTATCCCACTAAGCAGTATTTAGCAAGTAACGGTAGCAAGGAAAAGCTTCCGTTTAACATGCAGAAACCTTGTAGTAGAGAGGTTGAGTCTTCTATTATTTGGCCCCTCCACAGTGGAAGTATCAGCACCATCTCTAGAGAAGGGCTTCTGATAAACTGTATATTTGCAGCAGGCTCAGGGTTGGACCAGCTCTTCGTTAATACTGCTGTAAGCTTGGCTTATGCTTATGCATTGGACATACACCCCACCTGTGCCATAGCAGTCAGTGTAGTCCTCAGGACTGCATACCTCTGCACTGGAGTGTTAGCGTCACTCTGCAATACTCATCTTAAACACTAGTTGGTGATACAATTTCTAAACACATCTATTTGTAAGTTTCCAGCGCCACTATGTCTCTTCATTATTATATGTGTACAAAAGTATTGAGCAAAGTATCTTGACTTTTTATTGACTCAAAGTAGACTGAAACGTTTTGAGTATTTGTAGAACTAGAACTATTGGGGACAAAATGGCTAAAATGTGACCAAATCCAACAAGACTAAGCAGCTACCAAACTGAACAGTGCCAAACATACCGAGCTCCCGTCTCTCTCTATACCTTCATGTAATATTTGTAGTTTTTTGGGAAGATGAAGAGGATAAAATAGGAGACCTAAAGTTGATCACTAATAGAAAAGGAGTCCAACAGTTTCGGACGGAGGATTGCATTTTACGTGTTGTTTTAAGTTGGGATACGATGGGGGAATAAAAAAATTCACTCTCACTAAGCAGTGCAGCCCAACCCTAAACACACCCCCATCGAACAGGGCTGCTCTCCAAACAGAGAAAAGGCTGCATCATCACAGGATAGATAACTGTGACTAAGACTATTAGCTAATTGAGAGGCTGACTGTGTTGGCCACTTCTACAGCCGCCTACCGAGCTGACACAACGAAAAACTGCACCCAGCTTCTGCAGTGATCATCTCCGACTCCAAGAGGGGCTCACAAAGTAACTCCTAAAGTACCCTTTAAATGAAGGAAAGCTTTTTCACAGGATGATAAAAAATAAACACCTCTCATATTTATGAGCTGCTCTTTAATCTTTGGGGTACTTTAACATCTAAACCCTCAGAAAAGAGGATATTAGGAAGCTTAAAATGCAAATCTGGCAAAACGTTCTGAACTAAATGCCAAGGCAAGCATGTAAATACCCCCTCCTCTCCAACCCCTGCTGTTCTACCACCAGGATCCTCCGTATCAGAGCACATGTTAGATGCACAGCCCCCATACATGAATAAAAAGTGTTAAACATGCTGGTTCTGTGCTCATGTAGGGTTTGAAGAAAGATTGCATACTTTACTAGGGTATTGAAAGCTACAATGTGGGACTATAGGTCAACACTGATTTTGCTGTTCTCTATGGACAAAGTAGGTCCTCTAACCTCTTGGCTGGTTTTGTCTTGTACATGTAAAAGTTTTGATTTTTGATTAAAAACCTTCTCCTGAATTATTTTAACAGTCAAATGTTTTAATTGATGCCGTGATTCTTGGCAAAGTGATATTTCAGCAGTGTGCTGTTTTTCATCACTTTGTCTAAATCCTCCTCTCTAGCAGCCATCTCTCTTATGATGACATGAATATTCATTCTTGTTGCTGATTGTCTTGTTTGCTTTGCCGGTCACATCAGGGCATCAGTATTGAATTCAACTGTTTTTTTCTCCAGTAAGAAAAAGAAGTCTCTTAAAATAGTCTTGAAAGAAAATTAGGAATTCACAAAAGAGTTTTAATATTACTCGACACCGGTCAATACATAGTGTTACAAGAACAATCACAACTTTATTATGATAACATAATGGCCTTTATTTTTAATATTAAAATTTTTAAGATTAAGAACTTATCACAATTTTCTGCATAAGAGTTACTTAATTGACTCATATATCAAAAAATTACTACCCTTGTAAAGTCATGACTTGTCCTATTGGAAAGACTTAACTATGACTTTATAACAGTAATGACTTTTATTTTCTTACGACTTTACTCTTCCAGTCTTTCAACTTTATACAACTTTATTCTCCAGATAATTTGACTTTCCTCTGACTTTATTCTCATGGTACTATGACTACAGTACATTCTTGTAACATTACGGCTTTATTATCCGATGACTTTATTTTCATGCTATGATGAGTTTATAGCTACTGTTGGATGCAATCAAGTACAGAATACAGATGGCGTGTCATTAGACAACAAGCTTTGATAACCTATCTACAGAAAATGGTGATAGGTCCCGTCTGGTTAGACTTTAATATGACACTTCACCATTGTAATCCATACCCAGCAGAGGGGGGAGGATGTTTACCTGAAAAAAGGAACAAAGGCTAGTTTTATCTCTGCTAACATTAGCCACTCTCAAACACTCTTATCTGAACTCTCATTAGCCCATATCATGTAAAACAGAAATTAAAGGATGAAAACAACATGAAGAAAGTCGACAAAATGCCTTGAGAAAAGGAACTAGGAAGGCAAAGTTTGTATTTACTATAAGAATATGTTCAACATTTCATCTGAAATATAGAAAATATTCACATCTGAAATTAGAAACGAAGATTTATTTCAAACTTTTGAACATTTCAGAGCCCTGAGTCATCAAATCCAACCAGGACTTGTGCTTTTGCTGTAATTGGGACAATTTCCTGAAGTTTAAGCACTTCTACTTGAACAAAGACTGAGTCTATTTTTACCTTGTCTCATGATCTGTCAGCGTTTGATCAGAGCTTCAAGCAGACAGATGTGGAAAATAATGAGTTAACAGCTTCTCTACAGTAAGACAGTGTGCATTAATGCATGAAGTACATGCATTTCCCTCTGCGTGCTTTAGTAGACGAGTATTTGTTTAAAGTGCTGCCTCGTGCACACTTCAGTCCTCAGAGGGAACAGACTCCATCCCTGCAGATTTCTCCTCATTAAAATAAAGGACGAATCAATGATTTCTAAACTGTCTATTTATCAGGGAAAAAGAGGAAAGTTGCTGAGCAGTCAGGCGTGTTCTGCTTTACTGTCTCTCCTGCACATTTATACTCTTACACACAGAAACCTCCCCCATTATAACAAAACCTCAATGTGATTACACTGTGAACTGATGGTGATACTGTACAAATATCAATGACTTTACAACATTTCAGATTTAAACTAATGCACTTATTATGAAATATTGAGGGATATATAAACTGCTTTAACATTTTAACAGAAACAGCTGAAGTCTACAGAAATCTGACTCAACACATTTTTAGCTTTAGTGGTGCTGAATGTACGTAAACTGACATTGTTACATAAAGTACACTGATGGATTCGATTGTGACATTTCATCATCTTGCACTTTTATTTTCATGCTCTTGTTTTTGTTGACCTGTGCCTTTCTTATCAATTTGGCCTTAAAAAGTAACTTAATGTAATAAAACACATGAAACTCATTTATTTAAGGTGATAGATAGATGCTGAGAGGTGGAGCTGTTTAAGCGATTGTGTTTTGTAACAGCGTCGTCATCCTAGCGGTCCTCTGCTGACACTCTGTGGTAACATCAGGTACTGCAGGCCAGTTTGATTTTCACTTACTAATTTCTGCTCCTTTTAGACTCATCTTCACTCACAGTCAGGGGTCTTATCTGTTTGTGTTCACTTCATCTATTCAGTGATTAACATATGATATAATGGATAATTATGACATATTAATAGAGGGGTTATTGGAGGTGTCTTCACCAATGTCTGAGCAGAAATTCAGATAATCGTATTAGTGAAGGAGAGAAGAAGTGCATTAACATTATTATTTTAATATGCATCATATTAAAGTGAAAATCAATGTCAAACTAGTGTCTGAAAAGCAAATTCAGGTGATGCAGTAATACCGTTTAATATCTTCTAGAGCAGATCCTGATTAAGTTTGTGTCTGCTGACATCTGCTGGTCATAAGCTGTACTGCAGCTATTCATGATTTTAAGTTTTCTCAGCTTCAGTCCTCTAAGCACAAAGCTTCCTCCACATCAATTAATCTGTAACATTTATGACTCTGCTTTTATGCACCTGAACCCCACACTCTCCTTTCTGATCCTTCTCTCCTTTAAATGCTGGTCACTTTAAGTCTGTTATAATACCTGTGACTTCTGGAGTAAATGGTTACTGGTGTGGAAGTGGAAAAAGTCTGCATATGGTGTGGAATTCTGCATTTTTCATCAATGTGTTTTATATCTAAGACCTGCCAAGTTTCTAGCTGCTTCAACTGCATGCATCAATCAGTCTCACCTCTATCCATCTCTTTCTTTCTGGATCTCCCTCTATCCCCTCTCTAGACCCAGTGCAGTAACAGCAGAAGACTGGCTCAAATGAGTCTGGTTCTGCTTGAGGTTTCTGCCTGTTAAAGGGATATTCTGGAATAAAATTAATTTAGGGTCAAACACCCCGTCAAGAGATGAAAGATGCCAACCACTTGCTTCTCTAGTTATATCAACTTTAGTAATGACCGCACGATAACGATACACAGCGGTCCCAGTAGCCACATGCTCAACCAAAACGCCACTCTAGAGCCACAAATTATGCTCAGAACAGCACCTAATTTCATCAACAGTACATATAGGGTCCCAGACATAGCACTAGCCACCAAACATCTTTTTAGCTTTACCTGATTTCTTTAGCAAAGAAAACTCACCAACTCTCTTCCAGCAGCCGCTTGAGACCTCAGACGAGTCCATTACTGCAGCGGGGCGACGCAGCTCAAGAAGGAACATTTATGATCATTTATTCATGGAAATGCAATCAGACCGAGACAATAAGGCAGAAGAACTACTGCGTCTGCAGTACAAAATGATTAATATGATGATTATTACTTCAGGGAAATGATAAAGAAATGATCATAATTGTTCTTCCTTGAGCTGCATCACCCCGCTGCAGTAATGGACTCGTCTGAGGTCTCCGTACAAACAAGTGGCTGCTGGAAGAGAGTAGGTGAGTTGTTTTTAGTCTCTTAGCTAAAGAAATCAGGCAAAGTTAAAAAAGATGTTCGGTGGCTAGTGCTATGACTGGGACCCTATATGTACTGTTGATGAAGTTAGGTGCTGTTCTGAGCATTTTTTTGTGGCTATAGAGTGGCTTTTTGGTTGAGTGCGTGGCTCCTGGGATCGCTGTGTATTGCTATCGTGTGGTAATTACTAAAGTTGGTCTAACTAGAGAAGCAAGCAGTCGGCAACATTCAGGGGTGTCTAACTCGGTGCCACAGTGTGTTTGACCCTAACTTAATTTTTGGAATATCCCTTTAAAGGAAGTTTCTCCTCTCCACTGTAACTTCCTAAATTCTGCCGTTGAAGATGGGATGCGATGTGATCCTTCAAACTCCTGAAGTTTGTGAGTAAGGAGGTTTGATTTGAGCCAAGGTCAGTCCTGAAATGCAACTGAGCGTCTTCATATAACATTTCCAAGCCTAAATAATGAGAGTTTTTCCTTTTTTGTTCTCGTTCTGCTGACTCTGAGCGACTTCAAACCGAGTCCCAACCTCAGCATCTCATTTATGACATCCAGACGATTTCCTGTGACGAATTTCCAAAGCCTTGAAACTGGCCTTATCGTTAAATCATGTCCAGTGTGCTTGCGTATGTGAGTGTGTCTATGCGTGTGTGTGCTTGTGCGTGTCCCAGCATGGAGCTGTCCTGCGTCACAGCGTCTGTTAGCATGACGCATTCGCTCCTGTTTAACCTTGCTGTTAGAAAACCACACCCACACACACAGATAGAGGAGGGGATGGAGAGTTTTGATTTATTCCCTTGTGCTCATAAAATAAAGCCCATTAAAGATAACAAGGCCACTTATCAGGGTGAACACTGGAGGGCAGCATATTCACACACAGACGTCTGGTACACTGAGGCCTAACTGTACTCCTGAAAGAGTGTGTATTTGAACGTGTGTGTCAGTCAATGTGGCTGTCAGTCACAGAGACTTTCATCAAGCTGACTACAGAGTGGTGTAAGCGTGTGTGTGTGTGCGCGTGTGTGTGTGTGTGTGTGTGAGGGGTGAAGGTCAGCTGTAAAAAGTTGAATGAAGTCAGGCAAGTCATGGTCAAGGATGATTATAAAATCCCTTTTTGATTGTTCGACTGTTTAGAACCAACTTCCTTTATATATATATATATATATATGAACATGTTGACTACTTTGGTACAACAATAAATCACAAAGTAATTCTGTTTAATGAGTGTATTCTCTTTTATTCAAAATTGTGCAACACTGCTACATTGAAGCATATAAACTCCGGTTTGAGGCTGTTGAGGACGGTGGGACTAAAACCAGAAGGGACAAGGACTCAGGAGAGCAGGAGGGCATCTGTGTGTAAAAGTTGCATTCCTGTTTAAATTAAAGGAGAAAATAAAGATGTGTTTTTGAACTCACTCCAAAGTGTTTGATTTTGAGGGGAGGCGCTTTGTGTCAACATTTTGGAGCAACTCATGTACAAGACTTTTTGTCATTTTTTCCTCTAAGTGATAATTTAACAAAGGCGGCGATGTTAAGCATCAAAAGTCTTTTTAAAGTATTGGGGTCGATTTTGCAAAGTGCACAGAAATCCTCCAAAATCTTATTTGCAGATTCGTCTGCATGTGCCGCCAGAGGGGAGGAGGTCAAACATGCTTTGAGGGGGTGGCATAGGTCGGCTCTCTGGGAGCTGGAGAGATGCAAATGAGAGCCGGCAACTTGTTTTGTTACTCAGTAACACAACGGTACAAAAAAAAAAAAAAAACACATGAGGTTTGACCATGAGAGTGTTAAGTCTACAGATAACAGAGTCTTTGTTGGTAGAGTTTTGTGATTTGACAAGTGAAGCAAACAGGCATCAAGCAGAAACTCCTAAAAATGAAGTAAAGGATGCAGCTCCTCAAATGTCCACTTGAGGCTGTCTGCAAACATTAGGAATCCCCATGAGGCTCCATGTTAAAATGCCAAACTTTACAGCAGACTTAAACATGTCTACAATAACTCCGTTTTTGATTTGGCACACTGCACAGAGAGATTTTTAGTTATTGGTCAGGATGTCCCGATCCGATATTGATATTAGTTATCAGTCTGATACATAGACTGTATAAAGAATGGACAAAGTCTGCCTCCTTGCTGGGTGAAGCCACTCGGAGAACAGTGCCCTCTGTTGATGGGCTGCAGTAAAGGTCATAAATCCCACCTCTGCCAGCAAATCTTATGGAGCTGTGGACAAACTTTAGAAATTTATTACACAGAACATTAAGTTTTCTCCCCCCTGCTTGTGATGTTGACATGTAGTTACTGTCAGACTGGTTTGTGCTCAAGTCCTCTGTTTTCTGTGAAGCTCCATTTTTAAAAGTTATTAGGGGGTTCATGTTTTCTATGATTGACACCTGATACAGCCTATGGGCATTCAGGGATTGTGTAGCTCTCCCATACACTGTTTGAGCCGAGCATCATCACAGTGACTCTTGGCGACCACGCAGTCGCTACTGCGCAGCGCTGGTTTTAGGAAATGAAGAAAAATCCTGGAAATACAGAGAGCTTTTTGGCTTCAAATCCACATACAGGCGGTAGGCGGAAACAAGTTGTCCATAGTATATACAGTCTATGGTCTGATATCAGCAAAAAAAAAAAAAAAAAAGGGTCATATCGGCCTGCATCCAACATCTCCGATATCAGCACTCCGATACAAGCAGTCCATTCCAGGCTCCGCTCCGGTACCTCTACATAGCGGTGCCCAGATCCAGCATGTAGAGCCTAAGTAATCACAACAACAGTGTGTAAGAAGGTGCTAACAAAGTAGCAAGGAGTAAGAGTGATGTTAGCTGGCAGTATTTTTGGTCTGATTCTAATTTCGAAAAAGACGTTGCAGCTGAGTGCAAAACTTGTCATGCAAAATTTTGTGCCAGTATCAGCTCAATATCGGTATTGGCCAACACTGAGGGCTACAATATTGGTATCGGAAGTAAAAAGTTGTATCAGAACACTCCTAGTCACTCCTAGTTACGAGGCTAGATGACAGGTAAGTGTGTTGTAGCTTTAACTTTTACCTACCTAGTATAATACAGCCAAACTATGAAGAGTAAAAAGAAAGTTAACTTATTAGAACACTTAATAGAACGAATCACTTATTAGAACAAACTGGCTGAAAGAACAGAGTTAAAGAGGAAAGGACAAATGAGGGACAAATACACGGTAAAAGGGAAGATCATTAAAGAAAGAAACAGAGGGAGGAAAGGACTGATGGCTGAATGAGGAGAGGAGGAAGGAGAGAGAAACGGAGTATGAATATTAAAATGACTGATGTGCACTTTCCAGTCAGAAGTGCAGCTGGCAGCAGAGTGACGTCGCCGAGCCAGCAAAACAAACTGAGTGATGTTGGCACTAATTCAAGCCAGCAGAGAGACAGAGACACAGAGAGACAGAGAGAGACAGCATGAGGGACGTTTGACTTTCCCCTCCTGTGTTTAAATATGTGACACTCACACAGAGCTGTCGACAGATCATCCCGCACTTTCAAGGTTTGTCAAATACATCTCAGAGGAAACGTGTCGTAATCTAAGGCTGGATGAAGGTCAGAGGCGACAGGGAAACTCCAGCGAATCAGACATTTTCATGATGGAGGAGGTCTGAGTGAATGCTAGGGTGTAAATCTGGGATCTTTGGGGCTTTTCACGCTATCCAAACAGAGAGAAAGTGTCTCTGTGAGGTGATTTTGTTATAAATATAAAATTATAATATGATGGGATGAGAGAAAAAGTTTATATAAAAGTTCCTGTAGAAGCACTGAAGGGTGTAAAAAGACTGGACTGCTGGAGGAAGAAGGGCAGCTGAGCTCCATTTCATTATATTTTGGGGTGTCCGCGACTGAAAGCGTTTTTTTTACATCTGAACCTACACAATATGTCACAATATGTATGAATATTTTGAACAAACAGGCACACCGAACTGTTAAAAATATTACATAATGATTGGTATGTGTCTAAAATGCACATAAAGACACGCAGAAGCACTCAGTGATTTGTGGGTAGAAAAAGAAGACACAGGGGGGGGAGGAGGAGGAGGAAGATGGAGAGGAAAGTGCAGTCAGTTTTTGGTTGAGCCCATAGACTGTATATACTATGGACAGCTTGGTTCTGCCTTCTGCCAATGTATGGATTTCAAGCCGAAAAGCTCTTGGTAATTCCGCGTTTTTTCTCCACTTCCTGAAACCAACATTGCACAGTAGCGTTGAATGCACTCCACCTCTTGCGCAGTAGCATTGTATGCATTCGGCGGGAGAGTTGCCAAGAGTGGCTGTGATGACGCTCGGCTCAAACAGCGTATCCCCGGGTAAGCTACGCAATCTTCGTACGCCCATGGGCTGTATCAAGTGTCAATCATAGAAAATATGAACCCTTAATAACTTTATATATATATATATAATAAAAATGGAGCTGCACAAAAAAAAAAAGGATTTCTAAAGTTTGTCCACAGCCCCATAATGATGGTTGGCAGAGGCGGGATTTATTACCTATACTGCAGCCTGTCACCAGAGGGTGCTGTTCTCAGAGTGACTTCACCCAGTGCGAAAGCAGACGCTGTCCACTCTATATACAGTGTGTGGTTGAGAACAGGTACAAAACCACAGTGAAAGACACCTGGATTCTTATGATCCAGGAAGAGGTTTAGACTTACTTTACAAACCAAAAACATAAATCAAATAAATATTTTAAAGATTCTGAAAGTTTCTGCTGCTGATGTTTGAATCATGTCCAAAATCCCTGCGATGTGAAGGTGAGCGATTTCTCACATTAATTAATGAATACATTAAACCATCACCTCTGACTTTATCTCCTTGCTGGAGGCTTTGTAAATTTTTAATGTCAGAGCTTTAATGGAGTCTGCCTCATTCCAACAACGTCAAAGAGATCTGCGCTTTTATTTTGAAAAACACCAGAATGCATGCATTTGTTAGGTGTCTCATCCAGGTTAATTATCACTAAACAGAATAAATCCTTTCTTTCATACCCTCAAATGCTCAGCAGGTGAACTCATGTAGAGGTCAACTCTCCCCTCTGACCCCGTCTTTGCCTCATGTTTCCAAAACCACAGACTGTCTCAGCTTACTGTGACCTTTACCAAAGTCAAAGTCTGGAGGAACATCTAAAGTAACAAAGAGCTGCTGGCAGCAAAGAGGTTAAATCTACTGAACTAAAGGTTAAAGAAACATGACCTGGACCTGATTATGTTATTGTTAGTCAGTAAATGATAGCCTCTGACAACTGGGTGAAGGATGTTTTGATGGTTTGTGGAACTGACCTGGACAACAGATCGGGTGAGGCTGCAGAGGTTGTACAGAGGAGAGAGCAGACAGGCTGTAGCAGGTATCAGCAGAGTTTGTTTGTCCTGTTAGTGAGTGATCAACTGGTCAGTGTGGAAAACCTGGAGGGGCACTGAAAGAGGAGTAATACACACATACACACAGGACCAGTGGTAATAAAAGTGTATCTAACCTATCAGCGACCTCTTCCTCTTCGGATCTGCAGCCTGACGGGGTAAGTGGGGTTTTAACCTGTCATGTCAAATAAAAATCAGCCTCCCTCCCGCGGGTTTCTCTGACACACCTGGTCTGATCTGAAGCTGGGTCAGCAGCTGTCTGCCTGCCTGCCACTCTTTCTGCCTGTTTCTCTGTCAAAATAAAACAAAGCAGTATAATGCCTGCCACTTCCAACACTGCCTCGGTTACAAAGCTCAGGACTCGGCGGGCCCAAGGACACGTCACTTTGGTCATGTTTCGTCGGGGCTGGAGAGAGAATCAGCTCAGGTAACGTCCACAGCAGCCACAGAGTGAGCCGTATGCGTCGCTCTCTCTGCTGCTGAACCCACTTTCCTCTCTCTGATTACTTCCACCTCTCTGTGTGAAGGTGTGCATGTAGCTCAAATCAGCTGCTGTAGAGTTTTGATTGCAACAAAATACCTGCAGGCTTTCAAACTTCCATGACGCAGTCTAACGTCACTGTGCAAAGAGCTCATTTCACCACTAAAGCACCTACAGTAGCAACAAAGCAGCATCATCTCCTTGGTGGTGCTCTGATAGAGAATTCAAACGTTTGTCGGACTTTTATGAATACATCCCACCAAACACCCAACGTCATTTAGACGTCTTTTTTCAGGCTACATCACATCAGCCCATCATTGCCGTTATTCAGCCCAAAAAAGACGTTGAAAACTGGGCTTCATTTAGACGGTCCGAATCCAGACGTTTAGACGTATGGTGAAGACGTCTTTTCAACCACTTTTTGCTGGGTGGGATATTTGTTGTCCAAATACTAATAAGAACGTAAATTTTCAAATTACTCCAGTAGATTTATGACAGCAGTAATAAGAGCAGCAACAACTAACAAACAATCACTTTGGGCAAAGGCGTCCAAGCAGGTTACAGCAACTAAAATATCCTTGTGGCATCACAAAAAGGGTCTCTACAGAGACAGGCTTTGATGCAAAGGTTCATAAATTTTACTGTATAACTGTTGATGAACATTTAAGTGATCCATGCACGGACCATGAAGTGATGCGTCTTGAGAAAATACCCACAAAAGCAGCTCTGTGAAGGTCAGCCCCTGTACATGTGAAACTCGTCAGGCTGAAACCTCGCTAGTTCCAAGACTATTATTTTCATTTATTTCAACACTGCATGAGATTCAACCACAAACTTTTTCCAAATACTCTCTGTCGGTTAGACTTCAGAGATCCTACTGACTGGAATAAAATCAAAGCAATAGCATTAAGTGCTTACATGCCATTTCAAAGTGGGATATTTACAACCCCTTGGATGAAGGTGCAATGGGAGGTCAGCCAAGAGGTCCAAGTTTTCTCATGTTTCTAAGATGCTTCACTTGAGAAATTGCAGAGATTGAGAGGTAATCATTTTAAAGACAAAACGGACTTAAAAGCACTCGAATAGAGAAAAACAATGAAAGGATTTAAATGTGTTCAAACCATTTGTTTTAAAGGACTTGTTGTAGCCACTCCAGGCAGTTTTGTCACCTCAGACAGTAAACTGGACAAATTGTTTGAAGTCTATTAGCCAATAAGAGCCCATTATATCGAAAAACATGGCCAAGATTTGAAGAAAAATATTTCACCTTTTAATAGTCCCTGCTCCATCGGCAAAAATCTCACATGTAAACCTCAAAGTGAAGCATTCTGTCGTGACTACAGTCCCTGACCCAGTGGACCAGCGGAGGTCAGGGTCTCTAGCAGTGACTCAGTAAAACCCTTCTTCAATGCTTCGGTAAAAAACCTGGAGTCTTACCCTGAGGACTGGCAGAATCTGATGGAGCAAAGAGTTCATAGCATGCAAATAAATACAGCAATTCACTCTGAGTCAACCTTCAGAGCAGCCCGAATAACCAGCTCCAGGCTTTTGCTTTTATTTCACTGTTGCACCTGTCCTGTTGGGCTGGCCCCATTTTTCCTTTAAAAAATATCAAAATTCAGCTCAGCAATACAGTGAAACTTTTTCTTCTCAATAAAACTTTAAGATCACGTCGCTTTTTAAATCACATCCTCTCTGGCTACTTTGTCATGCAAATCATCTAATGCCAATGATCACAGCCGACACGTCAACTGTGAGTCATATTCTCATGTTACCATGGTGACAATTGGCTTAAAGCCTCTAATAGCTGCACTGTGGCACTATTAATGTCAAATGTTAGTCAAAGAAACAATAAAACAACTATAGTGGTCCATTCAAAGAATATAATGCTAATATCTGCAAGTCACTTCAAACACAGATGAGGAAATTTTGGTGTTGTGCAAGATTTCAAACGTTTTTGCCACATTTTGTATGTTAACATATAAAAGAGAGTATTCCTGTTGGGTTGCAAAATGGTTCTTGATAAAGAGCTCTGTCTGAGGCACCCTCCTGAAATCCCCGTAAAGCCTTGTGAGTCATTGGCATGATGGTTGCCAAGCCACTGAAGAAATGTATAAATACAAGCATTTTTTTTCTTAACTGAGATTTATGGATTATGAAAACCATTTTATAATCTTAGTTTAATGTTGTTTCAATTCATTATGGTCCTTATACTGGTCCTTTTCTGTAAAATATTCCTGGTATACTGATGTTTCTGTAATTATGAAGCTAGCTAAAGCTGCATCTCTTGGCTTTAAAGTGCAGTGTTTGATTATCAACAGCGTTTATCAGAAACAAATTTTAAGAAATGAAGTAATGGGGTAATTAATTAGTGCAAAATCACCTGGATATAAAAAGCATTTTGTTTTTGTCGGCTTAGAATGAGCTCTTTTCATTTACCACCAGTAGCTGCCATCTTGAACAGCCCAGTTTCTACCATGGTACATGGAGCACAAAGTGTCATATTACCATATTCTGACTTCCCAAAAAGAGGACATAACTACGCAGGGGCAGAGTCACGGAGTAGCACAAATTTAATTTTGAGAGTTTTTCGGGTTGGATTGAGTGTCTTTTATGTGCTTCTAACTCTGTAAGTCCACGTGACACAAACTTGAAACTTCCGTACAAAAATGCAGACATTTAAAGGATTTTAAAAACTTCCCCAGACAAGGCTGGACAGCCCGGACAGCCCCCCCAAAAAGAAGACATGTCTGGGTAAAAGAGGACGTATGGTCACTCTAAAAGTGTCACATGTATTTTCGTGTTTAATGGCTGCTAATTGCACCAGCTGGAAGACAAAGTTGGTTGTAAAAACTTGACAAAAGGAGGATTATACTTATAATGCATCATTGCAGCTTGAATTTCTGTATAATGTACCTTCCAATACCTTAACCATCAGTCAGCACTGCATGCACTAGAAAAAATGTTGTAGATACAGCTAGGGAGGGTGCTGAGCTCCTGACAAACATCCGTATTCGTAAAGGTCGGGTTACTTCAAAAATGACTGAGGCTTCCCTGGTGCAAAAAAACACCACTCGACAGCAGTAAAGCTTCCATCCCTCTGACATTGATGCCTTAGTTTTCCTCAGCATGAACCAAAAAGGTGGCAAACATCATCAGCATGCAGGACAGTGATTGCAAGTGAAGTGTTAGCACCCTGAATTTGTTGTTTTCAGTTACTACCGCAGTGATAGTAAGTCACTCGCTAACAAAGCAGGTAAGGTAACCAAAAATGCTGCTTTTGTTGTTAAAGTGTTGGATGTAGCTTCATGAATCATGTCAAATACTGTTAAAATGTTGTCGTTTATACGTGTTGTCATGGCTGCATCTCTATGATGAATGAAAGTGATTTTGTGCTCTGTTTAGAGGAGCAGCACTGCTTTTTTTTTTCTTGTTAACCTCATAAAATGAGATTCTGAGTAGTCACAGTGTCACAGTGAACTGCACTTCTTCATAGTTACTGGATAGATGAGTTTTCAATAGTCATCTGCTGCTGTAAGACCTTCCTCTCTTTGCTGGCAGCGGTGTCTCTGAATGATGATCAGGACTACAGAAGCAGCTTGTGTTAGTAAAGAAAACCCTGTTCTCCTCAGACTTCTTCAGGAGACGTATAGTCAATGAAGACACAAAGCTAAGGGTTTTCTCAAGTGTTTGAAATGCTTTGGAGTAAATGCTCCAGCTCTATTTGGACACGGGGTATTGATCTGATAATGAATCGTACAGCTGCCAATTCAAACCGCCATCTGCTGTGAGCTCTGAAAGCTAAGCTCTGTTTTCTGAACTACACTGTAAAAAGTCAACTCTCAGTAACAGCAAAAAACAAAAAAAACCAAATAGGGAAGTATTACTTAAATAAGCAAAAGTATCTGCAAGTAAGTCAAGAAGAAGCTGTTCGTCAATGTATCATAAACAAGTTACAGTATCTAGTCATTAGATATCCCTAACCCCAGGCTGAAAGAGGTACATTTGTCTTTGCATAAGCTAATCAACGTGCAAAAAAATGCTATTCTTAAATGTTTCATGCATAGCTAATAACATCATCAGCATATTAAGATTCATATCTTGGTATTCACAGAGGAAAGCAATATTGTGCTTAAGAGAAATATCCTGGAAACAAAAGAAATTATTCCGTGGTAGACTTATTCAATGCACTTTTTCAGAGGAATTATACTTATATTTTGATTTATGTTATTATCCATCTTTGTTTGATATAGTTTTGCAGCCAGTTTAAAGTCTCTATGTGTTAAATGTCTGGGATTTTCTGTTCTTGCCATGGACAACCTCACATGACTCATCTCTGCAGCTCTTCTAATCCCAAGTCTTTTCCTTCAGGGTCTCAGTCTCCACCCTGTATTTGATAATTATGTTTAGGGTGAACTGGGACCTTGTTAGGGCTCTTAGATCCCAGATATTATTAAGGTAATTAGTGTTGAAGAATAGTAATCATGTTTTATGGCTCCTCCTCTGTCCCTAGGTAACCTGCACAGAGCCGTGTACCAGAGAGGAAATTGATAAGCTGAAGGAGTTTGGACATGTGAGATATGAGGTGTGCAGGATAATGGATGAAGTCCCCATGAGAAACAACAGGAGGGAGGGATGGGGGTAAAATACTCCCTGATGTTCTGACACAAGCTGATTAGCTGATACCAATTGGTCTGCACATCGTATTCAAATCTAGTTTGACTTTAACCGTGTTTAAAGGGGTTGCCACCTTTGTTCTTTTTGCCAGAACAACTTAATTTATGCTACGTGTTAATAAAGATATTCACTTTTATCAGACAAGCTTTTTCTGATGCTGTCCAAACAAAGAGGAATAAATCAACTTAATCAGAAAAGCGGAGGTTGAGGACATCAAGACTGCAACTTAAAAACATAAAGTAATCTGTCTGGCGATAATGATTTTTCACATTTACATGTCTGGACAGGACTTCATCAAACTTCTCATACTTAGACTGACATAATTGAATAATGTGGTTGGAGATCTCTTGCATGTACAGTATACAGCTCAATTGGACTGAAACTGCCCTAAGCGTTCTGAGCATGCTAATGTTTGCACACCAGACTTTGAATAGCATGGATGCATTGCGAGGAAGCCAAGTAGAAAACAAAACCTTCACAGACAGGGAGAGGATATAAAGAAGTCAAAACTCTCCAAATAAACTGTACAGAGCTGTAAAAGTGACAGTGTTTTCATCGTTTGACATTCATCCCTTTAGCATCTTGCTAACCTGTTTTGTCGATTGTTTTGGTTCAAAATAGGCCGGCTGGGAGACAACACAATAAATGACCTGAAAAGGGGACACCAACTGAAGTGGAGGTGGACATGCTTCTGTCAATAATTCGATTCTTACCCAGTGCTTGTAAACTGGAACAAGGACAGTAGTCCAGTTCAATTGCTTAATGAAGCTATTATCATAAGTTGAATCAAGTGTGCGTGTAAATGTATTGACTGATATATGATAAGTTTTCCACTCTCAGGTCCTCAAGCTTCATGTTTTATCAGTATGTGGATAAAGAGACAGATAGTGACAGAAATTAGAATTAGTTCAGATAATGCTGAAAATGAGCCATAAAGTAAAAACACATTAAGGACGATCACCCAGCTCTGAAACTCTTTGATATTTACTGTTTTGATCCAGTCTCCTAGCTCTCATTTCCAGCAGCAGCAGCAGCAACTTCAGCAATTATGATATTACATCTGCGTAGGTGCAGAAAATGAAATGTACTCACTCCCACTGCTTCCTCTTGGCCTGTGGTGTGTTGTGCTTCTTGTGCGCCTGGTGAGCCAGGATGACATCACGGTAGTCCACCAATCCCCCTCTCCTCCGGATCAGCGGGACTGTGGGGTCAGAGTGACTGGTCACCATGGACCCCGGCCTGGAGTGGATCCCGTACCCACTACCACCATTGAGAAAGGGCATGTCGCTGTAGTGCTCCACCCGGACATCATACACGGTGTGGTAGTAGGTGGGGTTGGGGCCAACGCTGCTCCCGCTGATCGGGGGAGGTCTGCAGCGCAACGGCCGGTGGAGGCCCTGAGAGGAGGAGGAGCAGGAGGAGGTCGGGGGCCACACCGCCGAGCCCCCATGGTCCTGGCACAGGGGGGACAGCATGGAGCTGGGGGGAGAGAGGGATAGAAAAAAAAAGACAGGTTTAACGAGAAGGCCGTGTCCAGGCTGCTGACCTACATGACGTTTACTACAGTTCCTTGTAAGAACTGGAGTCTGACGTATTTATTGATATTGGTGGTCTCCCCAGTCGCAAGAGCAGAGAATGTGGCATTAACGATTTCCACACAGTGATGGCCATTTTGATTTGTCGAACCACAGAGCAGTTTTCCGCTTTGCCTCAGTCCATCCTAAATAGCCTTGAGTCCAGAGTAGCTGTGGCATTTCTGGATGATGTCTGTACATGGTTTCCTCTGTGCATGGTGTAGTTATATCCTAAATTTGTAGACACTGGACAGTCATTTTTGGAGGCGATTTTAAACCCATGCAGTGAATTCCACTACAGAGTCATGCCGCAAATTAACCTTATTTAGCTTTTGAACTCATTTTTTTAGGCTTATATAACTTTTTAGTATTTAATTGTCCTTTTCCAAGCTTTTTTAAACTAAACATTTGTCAGGACACAATAAAGATTTAAGGTTTTACTTTTGATGTGTTGTCTTTGCACTGTTTTGTCTGCCTCAGACTTCTACACATAGGATATTTGCAAGCTGTTTTTTTTTTTTTAATTAGACTTTGAGTAAAAGTAAAAAGTGGTGGACAATCACAGAGAAAAACTCTTCATTAAACTCCTGCACACAGTGTTAGAATCCCTCATGTCTGCTCTGACTCCACTGAGGAGCAGCAGACACACCTGCTCAGGCTGCAGCAATTAACCACAGGTGTTGCCACTGTGGCCTGATCAGGAGTCTATAAGGATCTAGTTAAAGAACATTTACCAGTCAAACATCTTCTTATTTAGATGAGGCAAACACTGTACAATCAATCAGTGTTTGTCTGATCTACTTGAAATCTCAGAAGTCTGCTTATGTATTGGGTACTGTTTCAATAAATTAATTCAATTATGTAGAATGTAAGTTGATATTTGAACATTTGAACATTTTAACTATAGCTACACTGTGGAAATGTATAAGGTCCAGTAATATGTGAATGTTGTTTGTATTGTTCTAGTTTTGTTGTTTTGTTCTTGTCTTGTAGGCTGTTGTGAGTCGCTGTAGTTATTGACGTTGTCTTTGTGTTTGTGGCGTGATGTTTTTTTGTGACTGTGCACTGCAGTGGAGAACTAACTGTACATGTAGACTCCAGGAAGAATAGCAATGGCCTTAGCCAAAGCTTATGGAGATCTAAATAAATGAAACGAAACTTCTGAGCCCGTTGTTCAGTTTGCTCTGCTGCTGACATGTTTCACCCTGGCTGTCAAGTGCATCAAAGTGAGTGTTGTATAATGTATTTAATTTATAGATCGTTTTGAAGACTATTAAGATTGTTTCATTGGATCAATTTTGTGTTAAGGGCTTTATTTAAACCAGATTCTGATATAAAGGTAAAATTAGTGCACATTACTTTAATGTCTAAAGATAACCAATTAATAAATTATGTTTATATTTTTTTTTGTTAAGTACAGAAAACACCACTTGACAGCTTGTAAATAAATCCTTTAAATTGGAACCTGGTCTCCTTCTCCTTGATTGAATCCTCAACTTCCACTGATGTTGACTGACTCCAGCCCTATCAACTACCTATCATCTAAAACACACAGCCGTGACATTAATCTGGTGTTTTAATTTAAGTTTTTCACTCGCAAACTGATGCTGTCTGTGTTCACGTGTGTCTGTGCACTGAGTGTGCAAGCTTTAACGTTTACAGGAAAAAAACATTTCTCCTCGTCTGGTACCTGCTGAGGCTGCATTGCACATTATTCCTCGCTGACATGGTGTAAAGCAGAAAACTAATTCACAGAGACAGGCGCAGACACACACAGATTTACGCTCACACACTGCAGGTACAATGATGGGACATACTGCTATGGTAAGGGCTTTGTCGGGTGATTGAAGGTGTGTGTATGTGTGTGTGTGTGTGCGTGCCGCAGGGCTTGAATAACACAGGTCTGGTTGTATTAGCGGCAGCAGCAGAGAACACACAGACACAGGACCATGAACATAACGCAGAGCAAGGGCGAAGTACAGAAGCAACACAGACAAAGAAGGACTCTCGGCGAGGGGAGAGATTAAAAAGGGACAGTTGGACGGTCAGATAGAGAGGGAACAAAAGGGTGAGTGGATATGAGAAAGAGGTACAAAGTAGAGGAGAGAAGTAAGACTTAAGGGGAGTTTGGGAAGTTACAAAAAGACGCAGCCAGCTTTCACTCCAAAGGTTTAATGGTTATGATGGAGAGATCAGTCCAATAAAAGGTACAAAGACAGCAAAAACTAAGAGAGGAGGGGGAGATTAGGCGAAATGACAGATGAGTGGAGGAGTGACTAAATGCTGAGAGAGAAAGACGCAACAGAGCAATGCAGATGAAGCAAAATTTACACTACGTCTCTCTGACCTCTTTAATTCCTCAAAGTGTCCCAACATTTGCAGGAGGAACATTGGCAGGAAACGTGCAAAAGTAAAACCCAACTTTATGAAGACTTTCCAGCCTACCTTCAAAGTCCACTCAAAGTAAAGGTGAGACAATGCATAAATAAACAGGTTCAAAGCAAAATAGTCAAGGTAATGTCAGGAATGGCTCACAGAATTAGTTGCACAAAAATATATATTTTATTTTGTTTGTTGTAATGTGATAAATTTGTAGACAGCTGTCCTATAAAGAGGAGCTGCACAAAGCGAACATAGTTCTGGTGCATCTCCGAGAATGATGCTTCAGAGTCACAGAAGCAGGATTCTGATTGGAAGGTCACTGAGCTAAATCCCTGGAGAAAAAAACGTTCAGAGAAAGTGGATGAGTAAAACCTTTTCCTATCCTTTAGAGCACTTCTAAATGCCCATAATTTCGCTAAACTTACAGGGGAAAGCGCCTTTTCATCAATACAGCACAGAGAAGAGATTAAGCTGGGGAGAAGCTGACTGGTTGAGTTATTTTGCAGAAAAAAGGCAGGATGTGTTACATCAAAACCTGCACATCTGTCACTTTGAAGCTCTAATATATCATCAACCTTTATCCAAGTCTGGAAAATGATCAGGGTTTCCCTCATTTATTGCTCAGAAGGGTTCCTACACAGGTACGGAAAATATGGAAAAGTATGGAATAAATTTGATCAATTTCCAGGTCTTAAAAAGTATAGAAAATGAAAAATAAAATATGGAAAAATATTTATGTTTCCAGACTTTTACCACAGTTATAAAATACTGCCTTAAAAAACAGAAAAGTAGGTATTATAAAAAAAAATCCAAAAATCAGGGTATAGAAAAGTATGGAAATTCCAAATGTATAGGAACCTTGTGCGCAGGGTTAACTGCACACTGAGATCATGTTTATCAGAGATAACTGACTTAAACAGTCCCTGGTGTCCATTTTTAGAGTCTGTTGTGAATAATTTCATTTTACTCATAAAACAAAATTAGCAGAGAAATACAGAACAGTGTCATCTGCATATAGATAGATATTCTAGTCAGGAATAAAGAAGACAATGTTATTGATATAGACCGTAAATGAAGCAGGACCCAGGGCTGGTCCTTGTGGAATACGTTTCATGAATGGTAGAAGCTCTGATCAATTAATGCCCATTTTTTCACACCGTAATCTCCCAGAAAGATAACTTTTCACTTTATTTATAAGTGAGTGAGTCAGTTATTATGTTGATAAGAAGTAAATCCCCAACAAATGGATCACTCATACATTAAATTTTATTATACAAAGTCTTTTAAATGCAGCTAAATAACTTAAACACAACTCTCTCACCCACACAGATTTTTCTTCCACCCTTCCAGATAATTACAAGAGAGCCAAATGCAGACCTGCTCAAAAGGCTTGTTTGAAAAATTTACCGCCTTATCCCTCAACTTTTTGTGCATTTGCCTTCCAAAAAATAACACCAAAGGTACCATTCCCTGTTAGAGATCACTCCTTGCCTCCAAAACCACATCAAGCATACAGAAAAGGACATTAAATGGAGTGTATTTATCAGTTAGGGATAGTGATGGGCAGATAAAGCTGTATGAAGCTTAGGGGATCTCTTTTAATTTGCGCAGAAGGAGATTTAAAGCTTTAAACCATCTCTGAACTGTCTCAGGTGATAGGCTACTTTCCTCGTAAGTGACCTCTGTGATTCTACCTGTTTTTATTGTATTTTCCCATAACTGAGGAGCAAATATAAAAGTCAAACTAAAAAAAAACTTGCCAAAGTGGAGAACGAAGCTGGTGATAGAGGACTTTGTTATGTTTTGTATGTTTTTTGCTCTCGGCTCTTCTAAAGCAACAGAGTCTGCTCAAACTTCTGAATTAGATGCTGGTGTAACCTCCTCCTAAAAGTGTGTTCAGGTGTAGCAGGAGGCTCAGAGGGCTGCTGTGGGGTTGTTGCTCTGTAGGTGCATTTAACTCTTCTGTAATGAGGCAGAGGCCATGAACCAGAGTTTTACAGCTGCTCTGAAAAATCTACCCCACTGAAAAGAGGAGTGACCTATCCTTCTACTTGGCAGCCAAACACAGCTCCTGGTGTCTGACTGTCTGACTGCTCCAACCTCTTTCTGCCTGTCAACCCCACAAACGCCCTGACCTCTCGGGTCACTGACCTCTGACTGCTGAATCCATCACAGAGCAGGTGAACGCTAACACTTCACACTGTCTGTCCTTCCACATGAGTTATGATGTGAGGCTGAAGCAGCTGCCAATAGACTCTAAATCTACCTCAAGCTAAAATCTCGCCAAGGTCAAAGTCATGTTGGACTACATGGTCACGTTTTGCTTAATGGATTCAGAAAATCATGTCATGATGTAAAGCCATGTGAAACTTTGATTCGAGGGGTCAAAAGACTTGTTTTTCTATTATTTTTAAAGCACAGTAGCTCAGTTTCTTCCAGTTAGTTAAGGATAATTAGGTACAGACCCGTTAATTGTTCAGCTAATGAATCGGGCCAATCCTGCAATCAAGCCGGAATTTGGATGTGTGCCACCTTTGCTGAGCCTTGGATCACTTCCAGCCGCTGCACAGTTTCATTTTACAGCTAAGAGATTGAAACGTTTGCCTGTAACACCACCTTAAGTTCCAGCAAACCTCTGACAAAATCTAACATCTGTGTTTGAGCCTTGGCGGGTGGGTACATCATGCAATTCAAGCTCCAAACATGCACATCTCACGTCTGCAGAAACATTAGGTGGGAACATTGAGGACCTCTGAGGTAAATGAAGTGTGAGAGTGTCTTTCCTGGATCATTGAACTGTGAAAAGAGCAGAGTCTCTTCGTGGAGTGAGTGTTTATGTGTGTTTACTGCCAGCTTTAAGGTGAAGTTCTTTAAAGACAAACTGCTAGGACTACCAACAAAATGGCCTCCATAAATAGCCAAATTCAGAGGTTGAACCCTGTGACTTAGAAAACTAAAGCAGCATCCAATTAGCAAATGGAGATCAAGAGATTTTGGCTTTGGAAAATGTAATTAAATGGTAAACTGTCTCAGTGAGTCACCACACTAGCTGGGGACATGAATAAAATCTGCTGGCTCCATGCTGAGATCCATTATTCAGAGAGTTAGCCAAAATGAGGGAGCGGCTGAGGAGACAGAGATATTACTGCAAGTTTTAAACCTGATTCCCTGATGGACACACGGAGACAGACAGCCATGACGAAGACAGATAAAGATATCAAGACAAAGAGCCTCTTTTTTATCCAAACATAAACCTGTGTCCACATCACTGCCTCTCTGAGCCCTGCCAGTGTTTCACAGTGGAAGCATTTACCTCAGCTTTCACCCAAGGGTGCCGGGACACACTGACTGACTCACCCTGCTTTTATCCCAACTCCTGCAGAAAAGCCAGACACAGGATGTTGTTTATTCAACTGAGCCTGGTACATCCATGACAACCACTTTTGAATTACGTCAAAGTCTGAGAGGGAGGACCTACCTGGATCACAGGGAGCAAGAGGAAGACAGAGGAGGACAGTTGAAGGTAGAGAATCAAAAGATAAACACATCCAAAGCAGGGAGATTGAGGAAATTTCCAATAATGTCTTTTATCAAAGTCATCAAACTGTAAAAATTCTTATCCTGGAAAAAATACAGGCTGTTCATGTTGGTGCATCAGTGCCAAAGACTAATATCAAGGTCGTTCAAACCTATAACTTGTTTGTTTTGTCTCATTTTAGTTGAAAATTGTCATATGTTTTCCTTGGGTTGTAGCACTGAAAGTGTCCAAAGGCCAAAGTCCTGTCCTTACATCTTAGTCTCATTTTCCAATCTGTGTACAGGTAAACAAAGGCCACATATGAAAGTCACACTTTGCACCATGGGAAGCTGGTGTTTTGGATTAAATGGTGACCCTGTTGACTGGCAACTTTCAATTGGACATGGCAGCGGCTGTCATGGTTACAATATCTGTTGGAACACAGAAAGAGTCCTAAAGGATTGGATCTTGGTTTATCTTTTTAATTATAATGTTTCTCAATAAATCAACTCATCAAACATGTCTTTAATGAGAAACTGGTGATTTATGAGTGGGGAAAAGTCGACAATTCATAGGGTCAACAGTGATACTGTAGGGCTCTGAGCTTATTGGGAGAGAAGTTGACCTATTTTCCCCTCTGGGCTGTACATTAAACTTTTCCTTTAAGAGTCCCACAGCTCTGAATAAGGCTTTGACTACACTGGATTGCAAAGTTTGCAAAGAAACAAGACTCCAACTGACTTTGAAAGGCTTTGCTTGTTGCTGATGACCTACAGAGAGATGTTGATGTATGAAATGAGGAAAAAGCACTCGATAGGACGGAGATGAA